ATCTTAAAAGTAGAAACGAAGGAAGAAAATGCAGAGAAAACTACCTGCATCATCTGGAAAACTAGGTCGACAAGCTACCATATCCTTTTTCATACCCGGTACTCGTGGAGCACTTAAGAGTATGCGATAAAATTTTGTCTAGAGAGTCTATTTTTACCTCATTTGGAATATAAACACTAAAAAGTATGCAATAAAATTTTGTCTAGACAATATTTTTGGAGAATCTAATACTAAGAAAGCGCAGAATTCTAGAAAGCGATACCCAGAAGACTGAATCGATTCCACCCCAAAGATCCCAAAGATTAATAGAAAATAATTTAAAAAAAACCTTATAGAAGTATAAGGAAGCAAAATCCAATAACCCATTAATTTAAGTTGTTTTATATTAACGAAAAATTGATAATAATTTCCAAAATATATTCCCTGGAAAAAATGACGGTGTGTCACATTCAATAAGGGTCACCATCCACATACCATGAAATGGGTCACCATTTCATTTAATTTCAAGCTAGTGAAGCGTGGCGAAGATGCACAAATCTAACAGGTTAACAGAATATAAAAGATACCACCTGCAGCATCTGGAAAATGAGTCACCTTAACTACCATAACCTTATATAATCACGTCATTAGGTTTTCCTTGAAGCACGTGCTAAAAGTCAACCATGTGTAACATTCGAATAGGGTCACAGAATCTCTAACACAAAGCGTAAGAATATTTAAGGACAAATTCGATGAAAAATCTTTCATTTAAATCGTATAAAGAAAAATCAGTCAAGTGTGGCGAAGATGCACAAATCTAACAGGTTAACATAAGTATTGAAAAGTGCAAAGAAAACTCTTAAAATAAAAACTACCTGCAGCATCTGGAAGCGCACTCAACTATGTACCTCGTTTTAAGTGGCACGACACCCTTAACTGCCTTTGGGTACGTAAAGGTCAATGAAGTGTAAAAATCGACAGCATTCTCAAACAAAGTGTTACATTTATACTTATACTTTTGTTGGAAAATATTTTGATTTTCAAAGAAATTTTATTGAGGGAAATTGAAATGTTCAAGGAAAATCAACATTTATGATGATTATTTTAAATATTCATCTTACACCCGATAGAGATTGCCGAGAAGAAAGAAATCTATTTATAAAGAGGACTACATCCATGAAAACTCCCGAAAAGAAACGAAACAAGATTCAAGACAAAAATACATACCAATCAAGCTACAATAACTTGTAATGGTATAAAGGAAATACGTCTAAGGAAATCGGTTGTGGAAAACATCTCTGGAACCAGGAAAAGGGTGCACGTGTTAAAAGTCAACAAAGTGTAACATTCGAATAGGGACACAGAATCCTTAAAATTTTGAAAAGAAAATGCGAGTTATTATCATAGAAATAGAAAAGAAAAAAGGAATTCTAAGGAATTCTTTGTAGGAAAATCACTCAAATGGAACAAAGATCAACAAACATAACAGGTTAACATGAATCAGTGAAAAGTAAACCTTCTAAAGAGAACTACCTGCAGTATCGATGGAAAACGATCTTCAAATTTTCAAGCCACCTTTGGTAAGCACCATACATAAATGCATGTGTATTTGAGGAAAACCTTATAAAGGACCTATACCTGCAGGAACTTGATAGATATGTCTTTAAATTTTGAAGGTGGCTTGACTTGGATTTCAGTGATAGCCTTTCTCCATTTGATGAGCACCTATTCGAATGCTACAGTTTACATATTTTTCAACCCTTTGGGATTGATGTTTTCAATCAATTAGAGTTGAAATGGAATTTCATAAAATCAAACTATTAATACAAAATTAATACCAAAATCATTGAAGTATAAACAAGAGCAGAAAATGTAACAGAGCAACAGAAAATATCACAAATGAACATTTAAAAGGAGAATATTTTTCTGGGAAAATCTTCGGACCAAATCGGACCTGCAGCTTTGCATGAAAACCGTAGATCCCAGGCCTTAATTTTTCAGTTTTCGCACAACCTGCTTATAACTTATGTTGGCCTATTCTGATGTTACAGTTCAGAGCATTTTAACTCTTTGAACATTGTGAGCATTCCATAAAAAAATTGTGAGAAATTACCAAATTACAAGAAAGGGAAAGAATTTGCAAAAATATGTTACTTTGGAATAATATTATGTAATAGAATGAAATTGGAAACTGTGGAACTGTAGCATTCGAATAGGGATACAGAATTTTTAGATGATGTCTCAAAGAAAAATCAGAGTCCAAACAGGTAATTGTTTGTCTCCAAATTTGGTGAAATGCGTAGGAGGGTGAAAAGAAACCTGTTTCTTTTCCAGATTTCCTAGAAGAAAGGAAAATCCTAACAATGCCAAAGGTCACAAAACTAAAGCATTCGAACAAGTGAACATATCTTTTAGAAGGTTACGAAAAACCTATTTCCAATAAAGAAAAATTAATTCTCGCCTAATAATGCCAAAGAATAATTTCCAAAAATCAGTGAGTCGTGACCAAATCGGATTATCTAATAGGGCAGCATCAACATAAGATGCTTACTTTCTTTTGGGGGATTAAGTCTTTTAAATATTCTCCATAAATCAATTTAAGAAAATCATTGGAGCGTGACCAAATAGATCAGTTTAACAGGTTTCCAGAAGGGAAAATTTTCCGAAAATGGATTTTTTTTTCAAATTAATTTTAAGAGGGATAATCTCTCCTGATCCCATTTAGAAGATCACTGAAGCATGACGAGACCCAACAGGCTAACAAAATCGCTAGTAGGAGGAAAACGTGCATCCAGCATCTAAATTTGAAAATGCACTCAGCCAGGCAGGCAATCAACGAAACGAACCCAAAACTCACATGCACTTAGCCCTCCGCCTCCTCGACCACTGAGAGAAAAACTCTTGAAACGTCAGTGGTGTGCATCGGATGCAACGGAGGCTTCAGGCTGCCCTTGCTGTTCGCCTGTTGAAGGGTCACACTCGGATGCACCGATTGCATGTTCATATGCATCCAAATTGATTGTGGGAATATTTTCTGATGAATGCAGATCGTCATCCGCATCGGACCACGAAACCAAAACGCGATCAGCCGATGCAAATGTATAGCATTCGAACAGGGAAACAGAAACAGAATATAGGCCTTATGAATATTTTCTATATTTGGGATGAGTAGAGCATCAAGTGATCCTCCCACTAAATACGGGTCAGAAACAGGTCACCCTTGGCAGGTCATTACCCAAGTCATTGCCCATGAAACGCTGCTGGCCTATTCCAAACTTCTGAACCAAAACAAACAAAATAGACATATGATCAGACATCACGATCCACAAGCTCCAGGGGGATCGCTCTCTCGAAACTAGTAAATATTGATTTTTTGGGGAAAAACTAAAGCACTTCAACAGGGAAACATAAACGATAGGCCATCAAATCATAGCCGAAAATTGTCTAGACAGGCAGTGAAGTTTGAGTTTACTTCCCGAATAGACTGTGCGCCTATTGAATTTTAATTAGTTGAACAAATATTGGTCTATTGTTGGATTATTTTCTATTATTATGTTCAAGTGAATTGGAAATGTGACAATACCGCCCTTGGGGAAAGGGCATAGAGTGCGTGATCGTGTCTTTTTAGTTAAAAAAAAAAAAAATAGAAAAAACCAAAAACCTAGCGGAACATTTTCCCAGACAATGCAGCCAGGCGTTGAAAATCTCAGTCTTGGATATTCGGTTGGGGGGCACCTGCTACTCCGACTCTGTTCGCCTGGTGCACTGTTACACTTGGCTACACTCCGTATCATTAGATGCGGGATGCTGCAATCTAAGCATTGTGTCACACACAGCCCCAGAGGTCATGCACTTGTTGCGCTCCGCCGCCTCTCCCACCAAGAAAGTGAAATTACAAAAATACCGAAAGTCGCTGCTAGGTTTTTTGATAGCCTGCTACAAACCAAGACCTTGGCTCCAAAAATTTTGTATAGTGGCCTCCCCAAAAATAGAGAGAAACATGTAATACATTTCTTGAGACATTGGACTTATTCGGTGGCTCATTGTTTGCCTACTTTTGTAGCTGCTCACCTGTTCGATTCGAAGACCTTTGACTTTCGATTTCTGCGCCAACCTGCCCCAAAGACCTTGGGGCACACAGCAGTCCCCCTAAGCCATAATTGTCAAACCACTCGAAAAGAAATTAATCATAATTTTTAAAGAAAATTACAAAAATTTTCGTGTTTTTGTGACAGGCTCTCAGAAATGTTAAAGTGTATGATATTTTCTTGTAAAATTTCAAAAGAGATATTTTTGTAGACAGGCGAGTGTGCGGAGATTTCTCGCTGGAAAGAGGAAAGGGCAAAGGGCACTCTCTGTCTCTTTCACTTGCTGTCTAGCTGTCTTCTTCTATTTTCTTTCTCTCCTTTTCACACATTTTTTTAAAAATATTTTTCAAAGTGGGAGGGGGGCTTCCAAAAGTATCTTTTTATGTATCTCTTGATTTCGATTAAAAAAAAACTCTAAAAATGAATATTTTTAGGGTTGTATATTTTTGGATTTTTGGTTAAATTTTGATAATTAAACGTAATTTAAAAAAAATAAAAGATAATTGAAAGAAAGTATATATTTGCCCCTCTTCGATTCTTCTAAAAACAGGAAGACAGGAACATTATCGGCAAACTCCAGAAGGGTTCAAAAATATACATCATTTCCAAAGTACATTCAATTCAGAAAACCTCATTATTTGGAGTATCTTGAAACACTTTTATAGCTCTAATTCGCACTGAGGCTTAGGAAGGACATTGGAAGCAGGCTTGACCTTGAACTATCCTTAATCACTGATATCCCTAGTGGGCTGGGCTCTTGAGAACAAAACTGAAAGCCTGCTTATTTCCAGTAACACAATTATAACTTTAGTTGGCATTGGCCCTCGAAAAGAACCTTGAAAGGCTTGACTTTGAAATATCCTAAACCACTGTTATATCTGGGGCTTGAGAAGAACATTGGAAGCCTGCTTGCCCTTCTTTTTATGGAACGCTCCTATAACTTTAGTTTGCACTGGGCCTTGAGAAGAATGTCAGCGGATTTGTGTAACTTTTCGTATTCCCCATTGGTGAGTGCCATCTCGTAGATGTAGCTGATGCCTGCGGAGGTGACCATGCATGGCATGGAGAGAACAACATTGTCCTCGATGCCTTGAATGCCCTTCATATCCGTGCCGACACTCATAATCTTGCCGTAGGGACCACTTATCGCCTCCACTATATCTATGGCGCTGAGGGCCACGGCCCAGTCGGTATAACCCTTGACCCTGCTCACCGATGCACCACCGCAGATCACCTTCCTTTCGATCTCCGCCCACTTTTCCGGATCATCGCCACAGCCTGGGTTCTTGGCTACATCCCGAAGGCACGATCCGGCCACTTGTACGCTGGACCAAACCGGCACAGCACTGTCCCCGTGCTCTCCAATCACAAAACCCTGCACCGCCGAAGCGGGTACCTTGAGGTGTTGGGCGACATAGTACCGGAACCGGGCCGTATCCAAATGGCAGCCACTGGTGAAGCAGCGATGCTTGGGCAGCTTACCAATCTTTTGGAAAGCATAGGTCATCACGTCGGCGGGATTGGCGATGACCAGGTAAATGGCCTTTGGACTCAGCTCAACCAATTTGGGGACGACTGCTTTCAATATCTTGACCGTATCGTGCATGACCTCCAGGCGCGACTTCTTTCCGGGGCGAACTCCCGCTGTGAAGACAATCAAGTCCGAGTCCTTTGTGTGAGCTCCATCACCGCAGGCCACAACCTTGGGCTCCCCCAAAAATACAGAGCCATGATTGAAGTCCAGGGCCTCGGCCTGTGCTCTCTCGTATTGAATGTCCATGATGACCAGCTCCTTCGCCAACCGTCTGTCCAAAAGATAGGAACAACAAGCCAATCCCACCTTGCCGGCACCCACGACGGTGATCTTGAAGCCAGGTTTTCTCTTGGAATCCTTCATTGGCTTCACCAGCGAACTGAAGGCACTTTTCTTGGCCTCTTTTTCATCAGACTTTCCACCGCATTTGCTGGCAAAGGATCTGTAGAGATTCAAATAGTTGGAAAAGCCCTCAGGCCTAATGATTTTTCTCATTTTTTTGAATTTCTAAAAGGCCCTAACAATAAAAACGTTTGAAACCGAAAAGTTTGAAAGACAGGACGATACTGCAGGAAAAGGGAAGGTGTACTGGGGTATCAGATTTTGATTAAAATTCGGTTTGACTTTTCAAGAACCCTCAACAGGACATGCCCCATTGAAACTCCCTGAAGGGCTTTCCACAGACCCTGTCAATCAGTTTCATTATTCCCTGGTGACTAATTGGCTTTGAAATGAATTCAATTGAATTCCAAGAAATGAAAATGATTTGCAAACAGTGATTAGAACTGACCCTAAAAAGGGACTATAAAAGCCATGACCTCCACCAGGAAATCAACAGAAAATGTTGACCACAGAAATGAGAGGCCAGAAAGAACTTTACCAAAATAAAATAAAATCTGAATATACAAGGAAGTGGATGCAGTTACTGGAGGGCTACATATCCAGAGCTCATGTCCATGGGTTCTATTTAATTTTTCTGCCCACCATGCGTCGACGAATGAGGTGAGTTGGATTTTAGAAACTCCTCAAAAATATATATTTAAAATCTATTGAAGAATCCTCTGGTCTTTGGCCTTGGCGTGTGCCTTTTCCGTGCTGATTTATGTGAGCTACTTACTGGGCGAGCGTTACCACAACAAGCCCTTCCAGACCATAGTGGCCCACTCCCATGCCTCCATAGATCACATCGCCTTTCCCGTGGTCATTATTTGCAACAAGAACCGCTTGAACTGGTCCCGGCTGCCGGAGATCAAGAAACTCTACAAGGTTACGCCGGATAAGGAGAAACTCTTCGAGAAAATCCTCACCGCCTACGATGGCTTGAGTTTCCAGCAATTCAATGTCTTTGACTCCCTTATAGGGCAAGATCTGGAGGGTATGAATATTTATAATTTCACAGAGATTGCGGCCGAGATGTCCTGGAAGTGTAATGAAATCCTGGCGAACTGCATCTGGCAGTCACGAAGCCGGGACTGTTGCCAGTTGTTTCGACCTCGTCGCCTGCCTTTGGGACACTGTTTGGCCTTCAATGAGCTGGAGCAGCGAAAGGGCACGGGTACGGGACTCAATACGGGTATTTTACTACGTCTATTACTCCGCGAAGAGGACCATGCTCCGGGGAACTTGAATCCCAAGGGATTTTTGGTTGGTATTCCACAGGATTCTAAGCTTTTCTAAAGGAACAACCTTTGACTCACAGTTAACCGTTGTGGAGGCCTCTGTGTGGTTTGGTTTCCCCATCGATATAGTGCCACATATCCGTACCAACGTGGCCGTCACCGCCGTATATCATTATTTTGACGAGACTACATTGAGCCTGCCCTCCAGCCTGCGGCGCTGTGTGATGGACTACGAGGTTGACAGCGAGCATTTCCAGACCCTGGAGGGCCAGAAGTACATGTTGGAGAACTGCCTGGCCGAGTGCCAGCAGCGGTACCTTCTGCGTTACTGCAACTGCACCGTGGACCTCTTCTATCCGCCCTCAAACTACTCCGCCTGCCGGGCCACCGATCTTCCCTGCTTGGCGGCCCACAATCATTTGTTGCAGAACTTTGAGCAGTCGGGGGAGCATCCCTACGTCCACCGCGATCACTCTGGGCTACTCTGCGACTGCCTGCACAATTGTAAGTCCTTAACCCTGGTCACGGATATGCGCAAAAGTGTCCAGAGCCCGTGGATTCCAAGTAACTCCACCCGGGAGATGGGAATGTGGCTGAATGTCTACTTTAAAAAGCCCTCCATGCTAGTCTACAAAACCAATTTGCTTTACACCTGGGTGGATTTAATAGGTATGATTAAAACTAGAAGTTTATTATCCGTGATTTTTAATATTTTTTTTTTTCAAATTTCAGTTTCCTTTGGCGGCATCTGTCAGCTATGTTTGGGTTGTTCCATTATCAGTATAATTGAATTTATGTATTTTTCATTCTACAAAATCCCCAAATTTTATTGGCATTCATATATACTAAAAATGAAATATCAACGCAATAATATTAACTTAAAAAACCGGTCAATTTTAAAATAGTTAAAAAATTATATAACGTGAAATACAAATCGGAGTTTAAAAAGTTATTCCTTTCAAAAGCATAAACTGTTAACAAAAAAAATATAAAATATGTCTATTTATATGTTGTCTACTCATTAGTAAACAAATTAAAGTAATTAACTAATTATAATTAACCAATTAAAATTAAAAAATATTTTAAATATTTCATTGGCAAGTCTAAATATTCAGTGCTGCCAGACCTAATAATAATAGTACTATTTACAACACTATTTTGGGTGTAAATGCCATTTCAAAGTACGGTCTCACTTCCGGTTTCCGACATGGACCACTTTTATTTTAAACTTTAAAGAATATAGTCGATTTCTCTGTAAAATTTTTAATTTCTGGAACCACGTGTTGTCCTATGCACGCTCGTTAGCCTATTTTTCCAGGGCGAACGAGTGCTATTTTTTAAGGACATATAGAAATATTATATCGACTTTCTTACCAAAGTGCTTTGCTTATTCTTTGGCTTGGCATTTTCATTAAATTGTCGGACAAATATTAATGATTTTATGTAATAATTCGGCGTTCAAAACATTAAACGTTGGCCGATTATCGATTAGGCTAGTGTTATGCACGCAACGCTAGAGAAAATTGTTAGTATTTAATAATGCGTTGGTGGCGAATCTATTGATTTTGATCTTCGTGTTTTGAGGTACTAGCACAGATTTAAAAAAAAAAGATTATAGGGTTATTTTTAATAAAATAACTTTTTCTTTAAAATAATCTAATGAATTAATGAGAGTTGAGTGGAAATTCTACGCTGGCATGGTCCAAAGGAGCACCTTTAGAGGGAAATCTAAACCAGACACTTTTAAAATAAAATTTTTAAAATTTGTATTTAAAATGCAGAATACCCTATTTTTTTAATTAACCCTCTTTCGCAAACATTTAATTTCTATAATATAAAATTCAATATTTGTAAGAACTTTTGTGTTGAAATTTCTATCTAATAATGTTTTAACATTTTAACAAATTTTTAACATAAATTCCCTTGATTCAAGAAATGAAAACATGAAAATATGAGATGAAAAAATATTCTAGAACCTTCCCAAAAAAATCATTTCAAGTCCAAGTACAGTATTTTATAAAGAGGATTTATTATTTTCTTAGAAAAAATATTAAAGCTAGTTCAGGGATTAATCTATTTTAATGTTTGAGCCGCCTCGATCAGACGCTTGAGCTCCTCGTTCTGGGACAGAGCCTTCTGGATGGCCATGAACACCTGGGTATCCATGGCTCTGGTCTGCTCCTGGCTGAGGGCCAGAGTGCTCACCCGTTTGGCCAGTTGCGCCAGCTTGGGCTGTTGTTGCAGGAACCGATCGAGCGTCTGGGGCGAGATATTGGCCATCTCGGCCAGCTGGCGGATGTGGGGAGCCACGGGAGGCGATGTGACTTCGGGCTCGACTTCCTGGACCTCTTCGATCTTCTTGGGGGTGTTCAGATGCGGCTTGGGGGCCACCGTGGTGCTGGGCACTTCCGTTGGCTTCACGGTGGGCATCATTACGGGTCGCAGAGGAATGGGGTAGTGATAGGGAAGGGGCTGCCGGACCAGAAGGGGTCGCAAGCGGTTCACGGAGGGGGCCACAAAAACTGGCTTGAAGACCACGGCAGGCGGAGGCGGTATCGCTGGGGCAGGAGCCGAAGTGGTTGTCTCACTGGACCACAGGTTGTACTGTTTCATGAATCCGCTGAAGCGCTGATAGAGGCTGTTCTGAGGGTCCGGGCTGGTGGTGACACTCGTAGTCGTCGGGGGTTCTTTGGGCGCCTCCTCGTAGCCGTCGTTGTCCATGGCGTTGTCATCGTCGTCAGCGTTATCCCCATCGTCCACGGCATCCTTGTCTTCTGCCACTTCCTGGTCCTCAAAGTTCAACGTGGCCAGGTACTCCTTCATCAGAGCGATTCCCGCCTCATTTGCGGTCAGGTTGCGTATGTAATCGATGGTCTCCTCGCGAGTATTCGTCCCGATTAGCTCCGCCAGCTCCTCCAGACTGGGCAGAACCTTCAGACCCAGCCTATTGCGAGCCAAATCAACCAGATCCTTGGGATACTGGAAATTGGTAGCCGGAGCAGCAGTGGACGTAGTCGTAGTTTGCTTTATCATCCGATAGACAGGCAGGTTGTAGTACAAGGCATTCTGCAGCTTGGAGCCCATTTTGGGGGGCATCTTCATGTCGGTGTCTATTATAATGGCACTATCCTGGCCATAGAAACGCGAATTCTGGGGCACTCGGGCCAGGATGCACTGCAGCAAGGCCAAAGGCCAGAGAAAGCGCAACAGAAAACTCGTCATTCTGCTCGCTTCGGAGGTTAAAGGACAACTAACTCGGAGTAGCTCGACCACCTTCCGAAATAGACTCTAAAATCCGTGGCCAATCTGGTTTCATGGAACTCCATTCTTTGTTTTCCCTGAATTCTCGAGAACGTGCTACCTGCTGGGCCTTGGAAAATCTTAAATTTCCATTGAATTTCCCACCTACACAGCCAAAATGTATTTGCTTTCGGCTACCTGCATTCTGTTGACAAAAGAAATGGTTTCTCAAGAGGGTCTCCGATTTCCCAAAGAACACCAGAAGGGAACAGGATCTTGAAATCTTCACCGCCCTGGGATTTACACGCATTTGGAGATGGCAAGAAAGAACCGACAATTTTTCAACAAACTAACACATGTTTTATTATCGTAATTAAACCTTAAATTGGAACACTTGATGGCCACGTGTGTGGTACAAATTGTGGCCATCAAATCCAGTCGTCACAGAATACTTAGAAGCTAGGAGGAATTCTAAATTCGCGAGCGCTGCCCAAAGGATGCATGTGGCTTTCAGTATTGTATTTACACGGAGCTAACATACATAAATTTTGCAGAAGAAAATAAATTGCAAACAACTGAGCGCAACGCCATGTAAAAAGATGGTCTTTTTTTCTCAACAGGGAATTTTCTGATCTAGCACGTCGCTCTTCTGGGCAATCGCTTGGCTTGCTATCAACACTTGGACACACCAACCAGGGCGGGCCGTATGCAGCGCTCGTGCAGTTTGTAGCCGAGCTTGGTGACTTCCACAACGGTATTGGCCTCGACCGTCTTGTCCTCCTTCTGGAAGAGAGCCTCGTGCAGATTGGGATCGAACTTCTGATTGATGGGATCCAGGGGCTCCAAGCCGTGGCGTTTGAAGACCTGCAGGAGGGAGGCCCGCGTCATGCTCAGACCCTCGTAGAGGTTCTTCAGGTCAGCATTTCCAGTGAGCTGCAATAAGCATTGGGATTAATATTAAATTATGAGTAATGAAAACAGCCTATTACCTTTTCTTTGGGTACCGCCTGTGTGGCATGGCCCAGAGTGTCCGCCACCTCCAGCAGATCCTTGCAGAAGCTCTGGATGCCGAAGATTTTTGCGTCGCTGATCTGCTTGTTGAGTCGGTTGCGCATGTTCTCACTGTCCGCCAGGGCGCGCTTGTACTTATCCAGCAGCTCAGCATTCTGCTCCTTTGCGGCGGCCAGGTCCTTGGTCAGTTTCTCCACCTCCGCCGACGCTGCACCAGCTGCGGCTTTCTGTTCCGCCGTCTGGCCAGCTGCCTCCTCCGGCTGCTTTTCTGTGGTGTACAGCCTTTGACTCGCCAGACGCAGGGCGCTGTGGGAAAACAAATCATAATCAGAAACAATACTAGGGGACCGGATTATGTGTGAGGCGATTGCCGACAAACGTGCGTTCATTACGTCACAGAAAAGAAGAAGCTTTTCGTGGGGTCTTACCTCACATTCTGTGCTGTGACCGCTGCTCTCAATTGGCCCAGTCGCCGGCCAAAGATATGCACAGGTAAAGCTGCCTTAGCTGCCATTTTAAGTCGCTATTTTGTTAAAATAAAATTATATCGCCTTAGCTTTGAAACTTTGGTTCCGGCCTGCTTTTTGGTAGTACCATAAATTTATAGATAAAGAATCCCAAACTGTGTGTGACCATACTGTGGCTATGCAAACGCAAGCACCAGGTGCCGCTTTTGTTTCATTTTCCAACCATCCAATCAGTTGGGAAATTCAAATTGTAACGACTTCTAGCTCTAATTTTCATAAAATTTATTTTCAAAAATCGCAAATCTACAACTTCCGGGAACTGCAAAGCTAATTCCAACCCTGTGGTGCGTTACGGGAGAAGATCCAATTCAGCTGAAGGGACAAAAAAGAAAAAAGATCGGACACGCACAAGAAAAATAAGCAGAACTGGGTAGCCAGGAAGGCTTTGGAGTGGAATCCACAAGTGGTACGCCCCAAGAATAGGTATATAATATTCCTCTAACGTATATGCGTACAAGTCTAAGTCTAATATATAAATTTTAAACCCAAAAACATATTTTCGAAATGTTTGACCAAGTTTTCAACGAGAAGGTCAAATCTGCAAGAGTTTATATGCATTTTCGGTTTGCTTTCAGTTTGTAGTCATATAACTATTTGATATTCCTTAAATATATGCCAGACAGCCAATATAGAATAAAAATAAAATATTTAAATGGATCAAAATTGTCGAGACCACTTGGTAATTCAACGACCGGTAATAATCCATGCATAAGGCCTATTTTCATGGCGCTACCTTCGGGCATATATTATTAAGAACTGTTCAGGTACTTGCCACACCTTGCCGCCGGCCAATTAATCCACGCACAGCTTATAAATCGATCGGTCCCGCCCCATGGGGCCGTCAAAATATAGACCGTTCGTAAAAGTTGCTCGTGAAATGGAAATCTCAGGCGATTCTTAATGAATTCAAAGTACGAGTACGGGGCGGACACAGCATCTTTTATATGTATTGAACAACTTCCCCACTCGACCAGCGAGTATTACATATGCGCATGCATTGTATATATTTTGGAAAAGTAGACATGAGAAGTCACTTAGTTGGATCTCGCCACCGGAACAGCGAGGTTGTCATCGTCAAATCCCGGCTTAGACTAAAACCAAAACCGAAATGCGCGAGGAGGACTTGCTGCTGGCCCAACAAATGGCGGCCAATTCGGTGTCCAGTTCCTTGGAGGAGGACAACGATGGAGCGGGAATCTCATCTCCGGGCGACTCCCCCCGCCCTTTGAGACGGGTCCTGGATATAAGTGAGAGGCGTAAGCAATTTCGGTAAGTTTAAAGTTAGTAAAATTAAATCTTAACGTTTAAATCGTTTAATATCAACTCTCTTAAAGAAAGTACATCCTTTTAAGATGTAGTATTAACAAGACACTCCTTATCTCGTTAAAACTCAAAGAAATTTTCTATTTTCTCCGAGTACGTGATTCCAAACACCTAACATCCACACATACGCAGGCACATGAGCAAATATATACTTTCAAGTATATCTATATCTTGTTTGCGTATATTTTTGGCTTAAAAATAAACATTGTTTCACGTGCCATACCAATTTGCATTTCCATGACTATTCTTAAGAACTTTTTGTCGAAAATAATCATAAATGACGAACATATTTGTGAATGGCAGCGCTTCTGGGGAATTCGCAAAATATTTGATAAAATTTCAAAAAGCCCGCCTAGTTTGTACCTTGTTCAATACTAGAAGAATGATACTCTCTCAAGTTTGATAAATATGATAAGCCTTTAATCTCGTAAAAATGATTTTAAGCAGTAGTAAACTTATTTTTATAAAGAATTTAGTATATTCAAAGCATTAAAAATTATTTTTTTTGTTGGCGAGAATCTCTTTAATCTCCCTTTTAACGCTTTCCAACACTGTCCAAGCTCTTGACATTTCCCCGATAACTTGCGCAGCTTTTATTTTCGACTTGAATGTTTTGAGGTCTCTAACTGCATTAGAAAATGCGTTAAAAGTTGAAATTGTGTGCCTGAACTAACGCGACAATCCCGAAGCAAAGTCGGCTGCCGGGTCACCAATGTGGCTTAGAATCCCATTGGGGAAACAAGTGCTGCCACAGAAAAATGTCCGTACCATCGTCGCCGGCGCAGAGGAAGAACTCGGAGGGGCAGACGTTTCCGTGCCACGATAAGGACGATGTCGCGGATGGGGGGCAACTGTTGCATGCCACGGCCCTTGAACTGGCGGAAGAAGCCACAGCGTCTACCTCGGCACCAGGTCTGGGCGGTGGCCTCGCCAGGGGGGGTAGTCTCATGAGCAGGAGTTGGTGGTGGTAAGTGTTAGAGGTGGAGAGCGGGCTCATATTTATGGGGGGAGTAAAATGTTTTTTTTGAATTTGTTATCTCTAGGATAGGACTGTTAGGCTTTTTAAAGAAGTTGCGATTATAAAGCTTTTTTTTCCTTTTTGAATTAGAAGGGGTTTAGTTAAAAACTAAGAGCTTGTTCAGATCTAGGAAGACAAGAATCTTAAGAATTTGTATCTTAAGAACTTATCAGGATGCTTCCAAACGCTTTCTTCTTATTAAATAGACTTATATATGGATTATGGGATAGTTATACTTAAGATAAGGTTTCTTATACATAGTTAATATAGCATATTGGCTTAAATTGAAAGTACATTGTCTGTAAAAATTATCATAGACTTCAACTTTATCCTCGTTACTGTCGAACACTAAACTTTTAAACCTCATAGTTTTTAAAATATGTTTTTTTTTATACAATCTATACCTCTGAAGACCTTTAAAATTAAAAAGTAGGAATATCAAGTCTTCCCCTCGTTAATGCTAATTATTTTACCTTGCTACCCACAAGAGGTCATAGACTCTTTTAAAAACCACTTGTCATGGCTATTGGGCTAACCTTAGGTGTAGCTGCCACACGCTCCGTGCCGTCTCTTATCTCAGTTGAATGGACCATCTTGAACCCGAGTGAACTCTTCTTCAAATGGTCTTGTTGATTCCACTCCAGGAATGGACCCATTGATAGATTTTCATTGAGTTGTGATCTAAATTTGGCAATTTGCGTTATCAATTCAGCTCTAATTGAAAGGCAAGGCCCGTGGTTCGATCGCGGGTACTTTTAACTGAAAAGAGTAGAAAAAAAAATATATAAAAACCCAGCCGCTTTGGACCAACCTTGTCAGCTCGGTTGTTCAGTTGTCGTTCGAACACGCGATCGCCCGGTTGACAGTTTCTCAGGGCCCTCAGTCGTCAGTCTTCAGTCTTTTTTTTTATGTCTCGAAATTTTCCGGCCAACTATTGCGAAGTAATCAAGTGGAAAACTGCCTCTCAGACTTTGATAAAAAATTAAAAGACCAGTTTATCGGACTTGAGACTTAATGTGTTCCTAATTACCCGCGTTTGTTTATTTTATTTTTGTTGGCTGATGAAATACTTTCTCTTTTTCGTTGACTTATTTCTGGGTCCCCTCATAATTTCTGGCCTGAACCAGAAGAGAGTGCGTGGGCGTGGCGTTATTTTTGGAAGCAGAAAAAATAAAAGTTTATTGTGAAAACAAAACTAACCTTGGGTCCCTTTTTGTCGGTTGCCCGAAAACCACCAAACAATGTGGTCAGACAGCATTCCACAAAATTAATTTTGTTCGAAACTGCAGTATAAAGTTGCATATTTTTCGTGCTTGTTTTTGGGTATTTTTTGGTGAAAAATTATGACCTGCCTCTCGGACATTGATTTGGCCACCTTGCATCAGAGCCGCTTGGAGCAGCGCTGGCACTACGGCCTACCCAACGAGTCCATGTACCACACTGTATTCCATCATCACCACCATCCTGATGGATTCAGTCCAATGACGCGTCTCTGTCTGGAGCGGAACCTCCTGAAGAAGGTGCAGAGCGACCTGAATGGAAACCGAGTGGATGGGGGGCACACCGAGAGCGGGGACCTGGCGTCAGGTGTGCAGCGCCGACGCTCCGGCACCTGGCCGTAAGTGACAACCAGCCGGAAGGGGCTATCCTAGCGATAAGATGTGGCAGGGAGTTAGTGGTGGACCCTAATGACGGGAATCTGTAATCCAAATCAGGTCTCAAGGTGGTGTAATAAATGCACTTTAATAAAATATTGCCAATAGGCTTATTCTTAAATTAGTTCATCCTTAAGAAACTTAAGATATTAAAACTATTTTTAATTAAATTCTTGAAGAATATATAATACAATTTCTTCCAGTGCATAAAGCATCTTTGTGATTCTGTTTATTTTTCCCATTTTTTGCATTTCTTCACCGCCATTTGCATTCAAGCTCTTTAACAGTTAAAGTTAGTCTTTATTTGGAATAACCACAAACCCCAAGAGGTCTTTTTGTTAAAAAAAAAGGAAGATATCATAGGAAATGTTTCCCACAAGACCCGAAACACCGCAGGCGGTTGATCTCTTCCCGCTTCACAGTTCCCTGAGTATCGAGGAGTTCAATAATGTCAAGTGGGAGGACATCAACGATTCCAACAATAATTTTATTGAACAAAAATCAGGTGTAAAAACCAAAAGTGTTACCTTTGCTCTAAGGTCTGAAATAGATCCACTAATAGATCCTACCTATATAACTCAGTCTTCTTCGATAATCCTCCAGGCGCACTCGAAGTCTGAATGCCCCATCGCCTGTCCAACAGTTCGGACCATGTGGACGCATCATGAAGAACTCCGCCATGGTGATGCAGATCCAGGATCCTGCTAGCCAGAGACTCACCTGGTATAAGCCACCCCTCACCGTACTGGTCATCAAAAAAGTCAGCGATGCCTCGGTTCTGGCGCCATTCGTCCAGCTGGTGGATTGGCTGCTCCAGGAGAAGAACATGGTGGTGTGGGTCGAGTCCGCCGTGTTGGAGGACTCACTACTTAACGAGGATGTGCGATTCAATGCCTTGCGGGATAAGCTAGTGACCTTCAAGTGAGTTCCTTTGAATTTAAACATAAACCAAGGGTTAACCTTTATATTCTGTTACCCTAGAGATGGCCGGGATGACCTGACGGACAGGATCGACTTCATTGTCTGCCTCGGAGGCGATGGCACTTTGTTATATGCCTCCCTGCTATTCCAGCAATCGGTGCCACCGGTGATGTCTTTCCATTTGGGATCACTGGGCTTTCTGACGCCCTTCCGCTTCGACAACTTCCAGGACCAGTTGACCAGCGTCCTCGAGGGTCATGCCGCCCTGACCCTGAGGAGTCGGCTGCGCTGTGTGATGCACCGGCGGAGCGACAGGAAGCACGAGGCCAAGACGGAGATTGATCCTTTGGCAGATGGCCGTCCGGCGGCCAACAGCATCCTGGTGCTGAACGAGGTGGTGATCGACCGAGGACCCTCGCCATACCTCAGCAACATAGACCTGTTCCTGGATGGGAAGTACATCACTTCAGTGCAGGGCGATGGCCTGATTGTTTCCACACCCACCGGAAGCACCGCATATGCCGCTGCAGCGGGTGCTTCGATGATTCATCCTTCCGTTCCTGCCATTATGGTGACTCCCATTTGCCCGCATTCCCTGAGCTTCCGACCCATAGTGGTGCCCGCCGGAGTGGAGCTTAAGGTGAGTTGCCATGCCTTGATTCTGAATCCAAACTGACTCCTAATCCTGATCCTTTACAGATCTCTGTTTCACCAGAGAGCCGCAATACTTCGTGGGTCAGTTTCGACGGCCGCAACCGCCAGGAGCTGTTCCATGGCGACAGTCTTCGTGTGACCACCTCCATCTATCCGGTGCCCTGTATTTGTGCCCAGGACCAGATCTCCGACTGGTTCGCCTCCCTCGCCGATGGCCTGCACTGGAATGTGCGCAAGCGGCAGAAGTGCCTGGACGAGCTGTCGGACCTCACGGCGTCCGGCTCGGAGGACACGCTGGACGAGATCGAGAACATGAAATTGTATGATGTTTAGTGCGTAAGTCTCTGTTGGTAATCGTACTAGGCTTGCTACAAGCCAGCAGTAGAAAAGCTCATTCTTGGATAGTCTTTAGAATTCGTATATCCTCGAATATTCGCCAATTTGTTTGTAATTTTGAAAAAGACACTATGTATAAGCTCTCGTAGAGATAGATGTACAAACTATTGCTTTGTTCTTCCGAAGATAAATGCGTAAAGCAAACTGATTGAATTGTTTTTAAAAAATACACACATTGCCTTGTATTATTTGAATAGCCTAGCGGCGCCAAACACACCTTGTAATTTAGATTATAGCCTGTAAGTTTATTGTTAGACTGGTTTTTCGCACCCGCCAAGCTTGCCCGCCCCCCGCTACCGCCTCCACCTGTTGCATGTTGTGGCTCACCTCGCGCCTGTCTTTGTGGCTGCCACGCACTTGGGCCTGTCAAAAAAAAGTTAGTTCCCATCGATTTGGGTGCGCGGAATCGAAAGTGAGGCTCGGGCCAAAGTCGAGCAAACCAAACGCTGTTTGGCAAACGCGTTTAGGCCCTCAGGCGTACAAGCAATGTTCATTACACGGCAAAGATGTGTGCCATTGTTGTTCGTTTAATTTCGTTTGCGCTGCGATCGTGTTGTGCCGTCTGTTTTTGCCTTTTTTGCCAGCCGAATTCAAGGTGTGCGCCGCTCTGGCTGGCGACAGGTGTGCGGTGCGTGCCTATCTGGTTGTGCGAACTGCATAAAGCCGCACAATAGTTGGCTGCGAACGTCGCCAGAGTGCGGTTGTGTTTGTTAAATTGCTGCTGTGGGAAAGGAATCATTTCGCGAAACAATATGAATCTGGAAGATATGCAAAGAGCTCGACAAATTGTCGACTCAGAGGCGTCGTCGCCGGGAGGTTCACCTTCGCCGCTGAGAAAAGCAATGCCTCTGACTTTGCTCCAAAAGCGAACTCAATTTAGGTAAGTCCTTGAGTGGAGAACCTTCTTTCAAATTTTGAAAAGTAACCGCGGCTTGAGTTTCAAAGCACTTAGCTTTAGAGTGCCTTTAAAAGGTGGCAACTCTCTGTGTAGTGTTAGAAAACGTTAGCAAATGCCTATCGATATTAGACATGTTATTAGTACTAGTTGGCAATCGGCTGTGAAACTCGTCTAAAAATCGCAAGAAAAAAACAAATAACATGGCTATGGTGGAGCTAGTTTATTTGTTGATTAATTCGCAAATTAGCAGATAGTCTGCCAGCCATTCCGCGTATTAATCCGGGCAGTGGAACGCAGGACGACAGGTGCATCGCGTTTGTGGGTCAAACTAGGCCAGACCACAAACAAACTCGCACCAACACCACCACACCACAACACACACATCACATGCGCAGCAGGAACGACAAGTGACCACCGATATGAAATCCTACAACGCCACCCCATCGCCCGCCCAAACGGTACCAAAGCCCAGCTGTTCGTCGGGGGTGGGATCCTCCGCCTCCGCCGCTGGAAACATGTCCAATGAGTCACAATCCTATTACGATGACCATGACAATCAGCTGCTCCATGTGAACAGTGCCAGGCTGAGTAATGCTGCCGCAGCATCCTCGGCCCCAGGACCTGGCCTGAATAACGGTTCAGCAGGCGACGACATGCATATGCGCTGGTGGTGGTAAGTGGGTCGCCCCATAGCCTAAGAACCTCATTCCTGGAAAGAGTACCACCTAAAACAAAGATAAATACATTTTTTGTAGAGGGTTTCCAACGTGTACTTCCCCTTCGAAACTGCAGTTTGTACTCTACACTTATCACGGCGATGCCAATTAGTGACGCAGAGCGCTTTAGTTTCAAGTGGCCCACACACGTGATAGGCCAGAGAGCTGGCCTGACTTGGCTAACACGTGTGACAAATGTGTAATGCATCCCATAGCGTGTTTACAATCCATTATTAATGGAAAACATTGTCTCTTGTCGCTTCGATTGAGTCCTAATCCTCTTTTATAACTTTGTTAATTAATTGATTGCCATCAGCGCCTGTGGCTTAGCGATAAGGCCATAAATCAATCATCCCACTGTTGACTATTAGCCACTAAGAAGCCGAATCATTTACATAAGAGTAGTGATTGCTCAGAGCACCTGTTGATTGCATGTCGGCTCTCGAGAGAGCTTCATCTCCGCCGCCGCCGCAGATCAATCAGCTGTTTTCCCCCCCCATTGGAGCTGTTGGGGCTGAAACGAAACCAGCTAAAAGCGACACGATCGTCGGGTTTTGTTTACAATCGCTCATACGCTTTGTTGGCGCTCGCATACTTTTATTTTCGAAACGGAATCGTGCACAAATCGTCCAATTTAATCACCATTTCGGCAGCCCAGCTCAGTTATCGCATGTTTACCGGACAGTACGGTCGTGTTCGCGGTCTCTCACTCTCTAACCCTCTCTCTCTCTGTTAGCCCGGGCTCCAGAGCTCCAGTTGCCAGTTCCCGATCTCGAACGGTTTCGTTACGTTTCGGTCGTTTACCTGCCTCCGATCGCTACTGCTGCTGCTGGTCAGTCTTTAAGCCGAGTTTGTAAAAAATTCCAGCCTTGGCTCGCGTTTGTGCTAAAAAGAAAATAAAACCGATTATATAACGTGTAATTAGAGTACTTTGGTAGCCAGGTAGCCAAGCTTTAGTGCAGACATGACTTGGCATTTGCGGGGTCTGGGCCCCAACCCACTTTCGATTTCCGTCAATGGTCAGCCAGCTGTCCAGCTGTCCGACTATCTGGCCAAAGCAATCAGTCCGTCAATCCGAATTACTGGCGAAATAGGCGAAATACCTTAAACTTTAAACGGAATATAATGGTAGAAGTGTCTGGATGGTTGGTTGCAGAACCACAGACCTTATCTTGAAACGATTAAGGTCTGAATGACAAATAGGGGTGTGATTTGTGGAATATTAGCACTCATATGAGCTTTATATGAACCTTTGAATTGTTGACGAAAGGCGTCATTCCGAATTATATCATGCATTATAGCACAAGCTGGCGTGCAAGCCAGGCCAGGCACGTTGTCTGCTCCCTAGTCCATATTCCTCGTCCCGATCCATTCAATGATAATCACTAAACTTAGTGGCTGGCACTGCGCACTTACGTCCGTTAATTGATTAATTAATTTCGATTCGGTTGGTTCTTTGTGCCATCAAGTCGCTTTAAAATTCGCTATATGCACTCGACTATTGTCGTAACTTTTCAATGGATGCCAGCCTTTGTTCTTTCAATGACTTGTACTTTAGTAGATGCTTCCTGATGTCGATAGAAAATAAAAATAGAAGACAAGGCAGTGGATCACGCGATCTATAATATTTTGAATTATAGTTGGTAATTGGGTTTCTACTCTACAGAATCTCCAGACGACCTCTGTTACTGAACTGTTGATGAGGCACTTTTCGCTTGAATTCCAAGCACGATTTCTAGATTAATGGCCGGCGATACTGTTATGCCAAAGTGGATCGGTTGATCAACATTTTAATTGTGGCCCAAGTGGACGTTTTTCGGGTTGTTTCGCTTTTTTGTTGGCTTATTAAAAGGTTGTTGACCAACGCACCGTGTCAAGCCGAAGCCAAAGCCAAAAATTAATTATCTTTATTGTTTTTAAAAAGCCAACTGGCTAGCTTTGGCTTTTTTTGCCAATTGATTTGTACTTGACATCGTTATGGGCTTCACTTGACTTGCCAAGCGAAAAAGTCGAAAAAAAAGTTGGCCAAGTCCAAACCCCCCCACTGACCACTGACGGAAGCTGGCCAATGACGCATATTAAGACTCGTCCCGCTCGGGGGGCTCTATTTAGGGGCTCTTGCGTCAAAGCCGGAACTAAGGCCCGGTCCGTTAGGTTGGCCAGATAAAAAGCGACCAAAACAAACTATCTGATTGCCAATAACAACATTATTTTTGCCAAATTTCAAAAGAAACACAAACCGGTTAAGCGTTGGCCGCTTTTTTGTTTATCAACTTTTACCACGCGCCAAAGCTGTTACTTTTTTTTATATCCCCCCCCTAGACATTCTTTCGGTTACCAAAACGGTTAACACCTTTGGCCAAAGGGGAGCAAGGTTAATTGCCTACTTTGGGCTCGATTCAGGGCCATACCAAAAGGGCGGGGTACCCAGACCAAGCCACAGTGTCAGCTAAAGGGAAACTCTTTAATTCCAGAGGTTTTAGCCAAAAAAACAATGTTTTAAGCCACGAATCTCCAGAGAACTCTCGAGTGATACCTAGTGATATTTAAAAAACTAAAAAGTTGACCTAAAAATGACCTGCCTGTCGGACATTGACTTGGCCACCCTCCACCAGCACCGGCTGGAGGAGCGCTTCAGCTACAAGCTGGCCTGGAGCGGCACTGGCCACCAGCAGGTCCAGTACAATGATCTCCTGATGCGCCACAACGCCTCTCTGAAGCGCCAGAGAATCATCCCGAACAAGGCGAGTGCCTCCACCACCAAGACCACCAGTACCATCCAGGCCAGCGAGACCTTGGCCAGCAGTGCGGAGAGCCAGCCGGTCAAGTCGGAGGATGAGCCGGATGATGGGTACTTTGATTCCACGACGCGACGCAGGCGCAGTGGCACCTGGCCGTAAGTAGTTCGAACTGCTTCTTATCTACTCCTCCCATCCAAAACAAATGCTAACCGCCCGGCGGGTTTGTTTGAAAGTTATCAGGTCGCCGAACATTTGTATACTGCATGGTCGGCCGATAAGGGTCTGGTTTCGCGGTTTTGTAATCAAGTGTTTACCTTGTCGGCCGGCTTATCGGGTGTGAGGAGTGTAGTACGCATTTAGGCGCAAATAATATCAGCTAATTGTATTCAACGAACTTTAGTATCAATTTCACAACGTGTTTCGTATCAGCATGATGGAACGAATTGATTTTATCAACAACCGAGGCCTCTTTTCGGACCTCCAAGTCACCACTACTGCCTACTAAGCTACTATCCGGAGTCCTTGACCTTTCTGCATAGTTCAGCCTCAGTCTATGGCGTGTTTTCTTTAATAAACACCTTTTTTTTTGGCCATTTGAAAACGAGTTTGTTAACACCTCGCTTATTGGCGCCGTCCGTTAATTTATGGCCATCCACAGTGTGTAGTCTAGTATCTTAAAGATACTATTTTTACGATTTGTTTGGAAGAACTTGAGATGCCAGTAAGGTATTTCAGCAAAAAATGGTGCCAGTTTGTGCTTGGCGCCGGCCATAAAGCAAAATCAACAGGTAAATATATTGGTATTGAAATATATTCGAATCGGACTCGAAACCCAATCGAATCGCAGACCGGAGACTCGTGACCGAATCAGGGGGCCGAAATCCAAAGGTGGGCGGGTCAGGTGGCTTTAACCGCATTTGCATGGCTTGTCTGGGCGCTAAATCGATTTTATAGAGCCTATATTATAGAGAGTCAATGAATTCGAGCTCTATTAAGCAGTGTCATGCTCACGTCACTCCAATATCTATCTGCCCGGGGGTCTAGTACTGTGGAGCTCTAGTACTTTCCTTTCTTGCTGGGCCAGGCACTCGAATCGAACCCTCCGTTTAGTCGTTTTTTATTACCGATCGAGGAAGTGCGTTCTCGGAGGAATGTCGTGTTGAATTAATGAATGAATGCCCAGGATTCTTTATCGCAATCGGTATCATCAATGGGAGAACAAGATCACATTGTGTCAACACACCTTCCTGCAATTCATCAGAACTAATGAGTCATCCTTTCGGGCCAGCTTCTGACTAAAGTGAGTCAATAAGCGGATACAAATACAGTGGAATAAAGAGTAAAAAGAGTGAATTTCATAAATTAAGCAACAATTTCCGCCTCTCGAAATAATCTCATTTAATTATCTCCACTTTTTGTCCTTTTCGTCCCACTGTTCTAGTCCACCAAGCATAGCCTATCTTATGGCTCGTTAACTATTCTCTACTCTCCCTTGCTCTCAGTGCTGACTCATCGCCCATTAGCACATCAATCAAACCCGTTAGTTAGCATACGAGATGCCTCCCACTCACTCACACGCACAATTTTAAATTCAGCATCAATAGTGCCGCCGCTCTCGCTCGTCCCCACCTTTAGCCTGTATCGCATCTCTCTCTCTTCGAGTGGAGCTCTCGTGTTGGTTGCCCATCTCACTCCCACTCCTTGAGTTAGCATGTGCAATTCCTGTTTGTTTGGGCCTGAGACTCAACAAGTTTATTTGCTCTGGCCGTGTTATTGTTGTTGTTGTAATGAAAACAAAAATATAAATACGTTATATACCTTTATTTTGAGTTTCCGAATACCGAAATTGGCCTGTCAGTGATTTTGTAACCTTCGAACGGGCAACAGTCGCGCTCGCAGCGAAAATTCCAACAAGTGGTTGTCTTGAGTTTTTGCGTTTTGGCCAGAAAACTAATAAGTGGCAATAATAAAAAGGGCGTGAACACCTTTATGCGCCTGAGAATTCACCTGTCGAAATGCAGCACCAAAAGTTGAAGCTAGCGGCGACCTTGCAGCCGCAGGTGGCAGCCGAGAGTGAACCGGTGGTGGCCCAGGTGGTGGCACCCGATGCTCGTGTTTTAAGGTCTTTTTTTTTTGTTAAAAATAATATATTATATATTTTTAACAAATATTTTAAATCTTAAAATCCTTTATTACTTAATTCCAGGCGTACTCGAAGTCTGAATGCCCCATCGCCCTTTCAGCAATTCGGACCATGTGGACGCATCATGAAAAACTCCGCCATGGTGATGCAGATCCAAGATCCGGCCAGTCAGCGATTGACCTGGTATAAGCCACCACTCACTGTGCTGGTCATCAAGAAGAAGGACTCCAAGGTTCTCTTCCCCTTCGTCCAACTGGTGGAGTGGCTGGTGCAGGAGAAGCACATGGTTGTCTGGGTGGAGTCTGCTGTGCTGGAGGACAAGCTATTGCGAGATGACTTCAAGCTGGACCAGGAGAGCGCTAGGTTCCGGCAGGTGCACGAAGAATACGCCGGAGTGAGGGAGCGTTTTCTGGCACTACGAGAGAAGCTGGTGACCTTCAAGTGAGTAGATGGCTTAAAAAATATGTTAAAACTTCATAGTAAATCTATATCCTAATCCTGCAGAGATGGACGTGATGACCTGACCGATCGCATTGACTTTATCGTCTGTCTTGGAGGCGATGGCACTCTGCTGTACGCCTCCCAGCTTTTCCAGCAGTCGGTGCCGCCTGTAATGGCCTTCTACCTGGGCTCCCTCGGCTTTCTCACGCCCTTCCAGTGTGAAAACTTCCAGGAACAAGTGACCAACGTCCTGGAGGGTCACGCTGCTCTAACACTGCGCAGCCGTCTGCGCTGCTCCATCCACCGCAAGGGTGAGCGCCGCAAGGAATCGCTCCAGGCAGCTGGAAGCAGCAATCTGCTGAAGCCCAGCCTGCAGCGCCAACTCAACTATGTGGAGGTCAACCACTCGGCCGGGAGCAACAATAACAATTGCAGTGCCAACAACAGCATCTTGGTACTTAACGAGGTGGTGATCAATCGGGGACCCTCGCCCTACTTGAGCAACATTGACATATTTTTGGACGGCAAGTACATCACATCGGTGCAGGGCGATGGCCTGATTGTGTCCACACCCACGGGAAGCACAGCCTATGCGGCAGCAGCTGGTGCTTCAATGATCCATCCGTCAGTGCCGGCCATTCTGGTGACGCCCATCTGTCCGCATTCGCTAAGCTTCAGGCCGATTGTGGTGCCCGCCGGTGTAGAGCTCAAGGTGAATTGGATTTAAAAGAGGTGTCGAAAAAGAACGAGTCACGATCTACAGGCCTCTGTCGTGACTCTTCTTCGACATAACTAATCCATCTTCCAAATCAATGACTAATATCCCCATCTACCCTTTCAGATATCCATTTCGCCCGATAGTCGCAACACCTCACGCGTCTCCTTCGACGGCCGCAACGACCAGGAGCTGAACCATGGCGACAGCCTGCGGGTGACCACGTCCATCTATCCTGTGCCCAGCATTTGTGCTCAAGACCAGATCTCCGATTGGTTTGACTCGCTCGCGGAGGGCCTGCACTGGAATGTGCGCAAGCGCCAGAAGTGCCTCGACGAGCTGTCCGATCTGACGTCCTCGGTATCGGACGATACCCTCGACGAGTTCGACAATCTGAAGATCTATGATGCGTAGTAGTGATGATGCATTGCCGACCAAACGAACCCCAAACCCTTCCCCATTCGCAGTTTGTTAGCGTGGCCAATTAGCCTAGTTGTAGATCTTAGCTCTTAGGGTTTGCTCGTGTGCAATTTCGTAGGCTTAGTATTGTAGCAAAATACTCTGTTTTATATAATTATATATCATAATCATAAATCGCTTGGTTGAGTTGAAAATGTTAAATGTTAATTGAATATACGATGCGATTGCAATGTTTGTTTAAGCTAGACAAATTCCGTTGTTGCTTGTGAACAAAACCGCTTAGGCCTAGGTCTTAAGTTTTTATTATTATGTAATCTACGATTAATCGCGTCGAGTGCTAGGTACTTAAGCAGACTCGCGCTATCTGTACAATTCGATGGAGGTAATAAAAACTGTATTATTTACATAAAGCGCCACAAAATCCATTTGCCTTGTGTTTGTATTGTTTCCCCGAGAGCAACAGGCCGGAGGAAATAAAAATGCAATTAACTAGATACACCAGGGGTATTGTGGCCAGAAGAGAGGTACTAGGCACTTGGCCGAGAATAAGTGGCTACTAAGTTGAGTCCAAAGGAAGTGGCAGGAATGATGGATGATGGGGCTAAGGAGTGGAAATTAATCATCAAAGGAGTGCCTAGGGTTGTGGTTTTTAAAAGCATATAAAATGTATTATAACTAATTAATAATTAATTATAAATAAATTAAATGAATTATCCCAAAAGTATGCCTAGTTTTTGCTTAAATGGTGAATGATTATGAGGATAGGCCCAACCTAAACCTCCTCTGCCTCTGTGACTTAAACCATTGTTTAAGTGTAAAAGCCGCTCCATAAATCAAAATCATAAAATAAAAGCCTTGGCTATAAATGTGACTAGAAGTGCCCTACACCCTCCTCCCTCACCATCACCCTCGCAGCCGCATTGCGAAAATTGGTGTGTGTACGTGCGAAGTGCGTTTATTATCAATTTTCACGCTTTCCACACGCTTTTCCGAAGCAACAAGTAGAGCCGAGCCACGAGCCCAGCTTCCTTCTGCTTCGGGGTGCTCCTCTGACTGGCGGATAAAAGCAGTGCGTGCTATCCGAGAGCTATGATTGGCCGGTCCAGGTCCCGCCCACTTTTCAGATACTGCGCAGGTCTGCGTCCTCTGTCCAGTTCGTTCCCGGTTCCTTGTCTAAGTGTAAGTACTTTGGCAAGTGAAATAAATGGCTTAAAGCCCATTAATTTAATTTTTCTTTTATTCCTAATCCGCTTGACATGCTTTGGTCTATATTCTTCTTAAAATGTACTATAATCGGGTCAAATATTAAGCTTTAAAGTTGGATTTTAAATAGGGTTTTAGAGTAACCTCTATAAAGCTATAAGGATTAAAAACCCCTTCCTGTCCAATCGGTCATTTAGTGACTTGCACTCCTTCTATCTAGAAAGTCCCTTTTCTTCATTGAAATATAAAAACGGAATAATAAATTCAAAACATTTGCGGAATTTCTTAATGAAGTCGGGATGATGCCCCGGCTAAGACAAATGCCAAGCGGAAAAGGCGAACACAACTATGCAGGAGCTGAAGATGATGTGGCACGTGTTGATATTTCAATTGAATGCCACCAAATATGCGAGCCACCCCTCACCTACTCCCACTACGTGGATTATCGGTGGTGTCTCTGGGTGGAAAATGAAAAATACTTTCCACCACAAGCTCGCTCGCATACGTACGTATGACATTTGAACTTTGGCTTTGGCCAAAGGGGGACAAAGCTGGCACTCGTAAATTTTAAATAGATTTTGCAAATGCTAATGACAGCTCTGGCTCGAGGATTGTGTGTAGCATTTCAAACAAAAGGAAATTAAACATTTGCGGACGAATGAGTTTTCCACATTTTTCCCTCGGCTTCTCCACACATGTCGGTGATAAGACTTGACCAAAGGCCGAAGGGGATAGATTGTCATCGGAATGACCCGCATCAGATTTTTTTATTTTTATTTTTTTTTTTGGGGCGCTTATCCAACCACATTTGTCATCGATTTAACCCCCAGAATATGAAGTTAAGCTGTCATATGTGGCAAATTCGATTTGTCAAGCCCAACATCGAAATGGAAACTGTGGCCACTTGAGCCTTTTTCCTGCCCCGGCCTAATCCTGTGCCACAATGGCATTTCTGCATTTATTGTATTATTTAAGGCCATCAGTCCTGGGTGATTTCTAGTCCATTAACTTTGAAGTTATTTTGGCGTCGCCACTTTAACACTTCAATGGAACTCTCCTTCCTATTTTTTATGGCTTCTTTGTAGTTCCTTAGCCTTTTAGGATATTTTCTACAATGTTTCCGTAAAGAATTCTTAAATGGGAAGTTTTCAGAAGAGCTCTTGTTATGGTTTTTGATTTCTATATAAATCGATTTAAATTCTTGACATCTTACAGTACCTTGAATATAGGCTTCTTCAACTATGCCTTCAAGGTCGAAACCCATCCCACTTTTGATTTTTTTTCATCCGGTTAACCTGTTCATGTTTCCATATTGTCATCCACTCTTTTAATTTTGTTTCGTTTTGCAGCTGGTTTTATATCTTCACTTCTATATGCAAATTTCAGGCCCTAGACGTGATCGCAAAGCTACACAATCATCGTTAATGCTTATAAATATTTCTGGGTCCGTCCTCTGCTCTCGGTTTTGTGACTCCGGTCTCTGGCATATAATCTTCGATTCAGTCGCGTGTCGTTTTCCAATCGCAGCGGTCCAACCGAGTTTCTTAGCCTTTCGTATCTCAGTATCTCGGCACGTGTATCTTGTACTTGTATCTCAATCTTGTCTCTGGAGAATACCATAAAAGGAAAACCCCTCTGAAATGTATTAATTGCAAGTGTCTTAGAAGTAAGTTTGTCTCGAAACTCCATCAGGTGGTTTACCGGTAACCGGAAATTGGCAAAATCGGTGCAACAACACGTTCTTTTTAAGGGCAATGTCCTGGGGGTATATGTTCCACCTGTTACGTTCTGCGTTTAATATGATTGTGACCTCGTTATGACAAAAATCATATGGATATATAAATATATTTACATAAATAACATAAAATGTGTAATATAAGCTGCTAGAAACTCAAATTAATGATGCAAATCGTTTAAAATATTACATTCTTAAGGTAACGATTTATAAAAGATATACAAAATAAAAGATATATAAGTATTATTGAACGACCGGCTGATAAGTATGTATATCTTCCCCCAGAAGACTTTAAAATGGGATACCCATATCCTAGAATCGTAGAAACTTGGGAAATTGAGAATTCAACGCCTTAAATTGGAAATTCCCTTTTGGGAAAAGTCAACCCCTGCCACAAGGACCCCGCCCACCAAAAATTGCCACTTAAGAAGCGAAAATCAATTAGGCATAATATGTTCTCCATGAGAGGCAACCCCAAAACGCGTTGCATACTTACAGGCGTAACGCAATTGACAGTGAAAATAAAATCAAACAGTAAAGGACCCAACACATCCATTTTATACATATATTTAAATATGTATAAGTGTGTGTGAAAGCCCAACACAATGAAGGCAATTGAGCAGAATCATTGCCGTTGGCAGTTTTCATCAATATGCAGAGAAAGAGAGATGGAGCGAGGAAGTGTGAAGCCAGGAAGCTGGAGAAAGGGAAGACAGTGCGAAAATGGGAGAACGGATAATTGCAGTGAGAGAAATTAAAATTTTTACAAGTCCATTAATAGAGGATTTCTTTCTTCGTAGATTTATAAAATAAAAATTTAATATAGGCTTATCGTAGTCTTGTTGAATAAAATATTAAATTTAAAATTAAATATTTATTATTCTTTGTGTAAAAGGATATACTGCAACAGGCAGCAGCAGCAGACAACAAGTGGCAGTCACTCTGCGAACTGCGCTGCCGGCGCCACTTGATGCTGTCATTGCCGCGCCTGCTTCTTCGTCTGCTTCTTCTTGTCGAGCCTGTGGCACTCCTTTGGCACTTTCCACTGGCACATCCACATCCTGGGCGCAGTCGGTAGCCGTCGCTGTCGCCGTCGACGTCGCCGGCTTGCCTCGTGCGCCGCTGATGCGAACGCATCTCCGGCAGCGTTCAGTGCGAGATGAGATCTCGTGGCTGATGGACGTGCCGATTCCCACTCTCGCAGTGCAGCCTCAGCACCAGACACTTGTGGCACCTACTCACTTGCCACCAGTTACCGTTAGTTTAGTTTAGTTTTGGTTTTCGAGCAACGAATCCTAAAATATATTCTTGCCACATAAAAAAAAGTTCAATAAATGTGCGTGTGTTGCAACATCATTGAAATTTAAGGAGCAAAACGGCAAACAAAAACCAAGCAAAAAATATGTGAAAATTTTAAAGAGAAAAGGGTGTAAGTTTTCTTGAATATATCCACATTTTAATCGCAATTTATCAAGCTAAAAATATACGAGTTATTCTATCTTAGTATTGCCTCGCAAATCAATCAAGTTTCAATCGAAATTTGCATTTTAAAGCCGCTACAAAACGCCTGTTTACTTTTGAATACCTTCATGTATTTATTTATTAATCGATTTGAATCGAGCCCGGGGGACACACAATATTTCTTGCTTGGTTGGACAACCAGCATGATGGTTAAACACAAAAAAAAGCAGAGCAAATAAAAGTATTAACAAATATTGATGTAAATACCATTTACTTTTCTTTATTTACTTTGGACAAATAGCCGCAATCTCATTCAATTCATATTTTGAGATTGAATAATAATTTGGTATTCATTTTTTATCCAACTCTTAAATACAAATATAAACGTGATTAACTTTTTTTTTTTGGTTAGACATCATTACCAACATGTGCTACTAACTAATGCCCGCCATTAGTTAAAATATACTGTTTAAAATGTATTCTTTAATAGCTTCTTTTGGCCAAACCCTGCTTTTGTCTTGTGGCCAACGACCTTGCTTCCAGCCATCTGAAGAGTAAATACTCGCCACAAAGGAAACCCTCTGTAGTGGCATCTCAAAAAACAAATGCCACAAGTGGCCACTGTTGGGCCACCGGAGACATAACAAATCTGCTTCAAGCTTCTTTACTTAAACTTCATTCTTTTTTTTTAAAACTCACCCACAGGAACACTCCAACGACGCACAGCCTCACCCACCAACAAAAAAATTACATAATAATAATAATACAACAAAATCCGTCTGAAACAACCACCTAGCAACATCAACCGTGAAATTGCAATAGATTTTTCGAACAGGCCAGACACTAAGTCCTTCCCAACCGCCCCCCAAAACAGGAAGCCAGGACGTATAATAGCAAACAACTTGGGTGAGTTACCTACTCTTTTTGGAATTTAAAAACCTATGACCTATAAGATTGCCCTTTAGAAGTGTTCTCCACTTAGACACGTTCTAGTTTTCCAATTCGATTTAAACTAATTAGTTTAAGGGGGTCTCATTTGCACGCCTCAGATATATTTGTATCTGTATCTGTAAAGTAGCTACCGTATCGCAATAAAAAAAAAAACTGCAATTATAGGTAATAAAATAATCAGTAAATGGTTGCAGGCAGCTGGCAAATTTGTACAGCAATTAAATGGAAATGGAAATGGAAAACAAAAACCAAGCTCGAAGGGCTTTGACTTCAATTCCTGGCTGATTATATAGGAAAACCAGTTTATATGCCTTGATGGGAACAATAAACAATCCAAGCTGAGGAGGTCTCTTCAATCTTCTGCCTTCAATGTCAAGCTCAAGCGCAAGCTCAACCTCAAGCTCGGGCATCACAGCTTAGTTTTAATTAATAAAAATCTGAAAAATGAGCACAATTTAAATAAAGTTGCGTGTCGATGCTTAGAAGCTGCTCAAATTTTGACCGTCGGTTAGTTGAAAAATCTTGTGCAATTAACACAAACCCAACAACAATTGAAACACAAATAAAATAAAAAAAAGCGACAATAGCGATAATCAAAAGAAATATCTGAGAGAGCATAAATAATGAATTAAACAATCGCATTCGTCGCATCTCATAGCACTTGCAGGGGGTCAGTCTAAAATATCCGAAGAATTTAATATACTAAGTATATTTTGAAAAAATTACCATTATCTTAACCACAACAAATCATTATCCATTTACCTATTAAATTCCAATTAATATATGAAATAATTACATTTTTAATTGGAAAATTGTTAGGGTATTAGAGCTTCTACCACCTGAAAAACCTCTATAGCTTAAGTCTCCCTATAATTCATTAGATATTTTATTATAACAGAGATAACGAAAACGCAATGGCAGTTGTAGTGTTCTAGTGTTAATTTTTATTTAAAATTTGTTGTATTTTGGAAACTTAAAAAACCAAATCAACCCGCAAGGAAAATCTATTAGCATAATTTTCAAAACTAAAGCTTTTGTTTCGGTTTTCGATTTCTCTCACGGCCATAAATCCGAAATGGCATGCCAATTGTTAATTAATATTTATTAAAATGTATTTTACACACTTTTCATTGTGCATTCATTTGAAATGCAAAAATTGTCTAACGAAAAACGCTCCGGGAATTCTCTCTGCGAGCAAAAAATAAAATTAGCAAACTTTGCGAAAAAAAAGATGAATTTGTTTAATAAACCCCGGGCCGTGGGCCAGAGTTTTTAGTTTGAGTTCAGATTGTCGACTTGGCGGTGGAAATCGCGGAATGAAAAATCCCCCAAAAAAATATATAAAATTCAGTGATCTCGTTGCCAGAGAGAGAAAGTGCAATCTAAAAGATAAAATCATTTACTTCCTGAATGCAAAATACACTTGACTCTTGAATCACTGGCTAATTGAGATTTCTGCGGCGTAAAGTGCACAAATATCGGTTGATGATACGATACATAGTATCAGAGTTCTATAAATACTCAAGGCCTGGTAGTGGTTACAGATCATTAGTGCAAGTGTTACTCCAGTGGAAAGGTTGACTTACAACCTGGAGAGAATATAGTCCTTCCATAGAGTACAGCTGACAGGTAATACAGATGCTCACTATATCCATTTAGTTTAGAACAAACTCTCATTAATTGTCCCCCGCTTAGCTGAATACAACTTATAATTAAAAAGATACTATTTCCAGCTACTAAAGTTAATTCGCGATGATTAAATCAATTTAAATAACAAATTCGTAGCTGCAGTGTTTTCCGACGGGCTTTTTGAATTCGAGCGACCATTTATCAAACACTTTCAATCTATTTGTGAGGCACAAATTGTGATCCATAGACGTATTGTCGTCATAAACAATCAATTGCCCTGCCAAGACAAGGCATCAATTACAATTTCCATTCAAGTGCGAGGGCTCTCTGTAGTTTGGCGGAAAACTTGATTCATCTTTTTGTGTTTCCTTCAATTACAAGAAGGAAGACCTCTTTGTCGCTTTTAACTGGGGGCTAATTTCATTTCGAAGTCGAAAACTTAAAGAAGTCAAAGTTTGGGAGAGTCCTTTTTCTAAACGAATTATATTTGGAAATTCAATTTGTGCGCCTCCCAGTAGGCAACACAAAATCAAAAGTCACACAAATATTGCGCATACGCCATGTTGACTTGGGAGTGAGGGTGGGTGGGAGTGTGTTGGGGTGTCGAGTGACTGGCAATTAAATAAATATTTAAATTACGTATGATTCAATTAGATTCCAGTTGCCGTGCGAAAGAGATATTGTAATTCAAACACCCAAGACTTGTAATTTATTTTTAATTAGCGAAAATCATTGAGGCATAAAGCGAGCGTGGGACCTGGACGCCCCACAAGCTGCTTACATTTTGATTACATTTTAAAAACGACAATCGGCTTAGAATTAATCAGGGCTTTCCCTTCTTATTTTTTTTCCTTGTTCCTATTGGATTATTATTAGCAACCAGCGGCTAACGACGCAATGCAATCATCGACCGATGCGGGCAATGGTGGACCTAGAAAATACACGCAGAGCACAGCACAGCAGCAGCAGCAGCAGAAGCAGTCGGAGATTAGCGAAACCACCTCCTTTTCCATAAACTCCAACAATCAACCACAACAGCAGCAACCACATTCCGGCGACAGCAGCAGCACTCCCAGCAAAAATCCCTTCAAGCAACAGTTGGACAGCAATCAACAGAATGGCAACATGGACCAGGATTGTGGGATTCTGGGCGTTGGCAAGGAGAAACCGCCGCCCCCACCACCACCCACTTACCAGTCGCAGTCGTTTGGTGGACGCCAGCCACCGCCGGCGGATCAGTACCGGCAGGAGGATCCACGCGCTGCCGGGTCCTGGTCCGCCGCCAAGTCCTGGATGGTTAGCTGGCGTGGTTCTAACCGGCTCGTCCTTGTCATTGTTGCCATAGCTCTGCTTCTGGACAATATGCTGTTGACCACAGTGGGTGAGTCCTACCTTTTATTTCTATTCTCCATTCTCGAATAAATCTTTTTCTCGGGAGACTATTAGCATTTCATGAACATTTATCTCCCCGGGGTCTGGTTATCTTTGCCAGGCAAGCCAATCGCCTGGAAATTGTCCATTTCCCCGAAGGAGCAATGGATGGGTGATGGCTGGTGGTGTTTCTCGCGGAGTGGGGCCATTAAATTACCACATAGCACCACTTAAGCTAATGAACGTTTTCCTGTCAATGCGATTTTTCTCTGACAGCTCATCAGTTCAAGTGCTAGGAGAGATTTTCTAAGGATGGGTAGCCATTAAGGCCAATACTTTGGTTAAAAATTGGAGCTCAGATGGAGATTTAATTGTTAAACTAAGCCTCATAAGATCTCAGATATCAGAGGTATAGTCTACCGCAGACCAAGTCCTGGCCAGCAACTAATCAATGCTGAAGTGCCGCCTGCTTAGGCATTAACAATGGCCAATGGACCAGACTGAGCCGGGCAGCTCAAAGTGGCTCCAGTCGATGTCCGACAGTCAATTAAATGGACACGCATTGGTTGGGCCACCCGAGTTGGGCAAAGTCCTGCGTTTGACACTAAAACCCACCGAGGGGAAAAACCAAACCAAATGAGTCCAGGGGGATGTGTCCACGGCCAAGTGCTTATGTCAAGTGTCTGGCCAAACACATGGACATTAAGTGGAAATCCTTCAGTCTGACAAATACAGCAGCGGCGGAAAAAGAAAAACCAAACCTGAAAAAAATAGATGTCCTTTGTGTTAAACGTTCATGAATTTAAATCAACAAGTTGGCCCAAAAGGAAAAAATGCGTTGGGAAATAGCCGAACCACTCGAGCAACTTGTTGAGAGCTCGGAAGTGAAAGTCAAAGGGAAACGAAAGAAAAGCTGGGAAAACTATTAGCTCCAAGGAATAAGTTCCTTTCTTTGCTTTTCCGCCAGCTCTTGCTGCTGTCGGGGTGGAATGTCCTGAGCTTTTAGCGTCTGACTTCAGGCATTTTCACTTAAGTGCTTTGCCAAGGTGCTGAAGCGAAAATTGCTGCAAATACATTTGATTATTACATTTGATCTCTGACCCGACTCTGCGACGTCGTCACCCTCGTCGTTTTATTCCATCCTTGCATCGCATAATATTCCCATAAATTAGATTTAACCAGGGAGCCTGCGGAGATTTATTTATATGGGTCATGGCCTTATCCGTTCCCTGACTCGATTCCAAACTCCAAATTGAATATGCAATAAGCTTTTGTTTTATTGAGGAAGATTGAATAATAGTAGCTTAAATAGGGCTTAGCTTTGATCCTGGCAACATCCCTGGTCCTGGCTTTACGGCCAATAAAATGGGTCTTCTTACACGGACACTGAACTATGCAAATTGTTGATTGTTGGTGGTGCTTTGGATAAATCTTTATGGTGTTGGATTGTTTAATTTGGAACAGAGTTTTGGGCTTACATGTTTAGTAATACTTGTATAAATATACGTAAATTTTTAAAATGACTCTTTAGGGTGTATATTTTATGATTTTCGATACATTTTTGTTCACAATGATGTTTCAAATGTTTTTTTTATTTATAAAAGCTATTTTGGACACTTTCTTTTAAGAAAAGGATAGTTTGTTTAACTATGGGTGCTGTAAAGTAAATAATAGCCTGGAAACTAAGGATTGGTAAAGAAATAGTCAGGTTAGGAGGAAGGTTTTTAGTAAGGAAGTACTGTAAAGGTTAAAAATAAAGATATACTGGAAAGGAATAATATAAGAAACATATCTAAACTTTCTCAAATTAAAAGCTATGATAAATGACTAAAAAAGAAGATACAAAATATTTAATAAATATTATATATAAAATGTTTTCAAAGAAAGCTAAAACCTATCCTATCTTAAGTCTAAAAAGTTATAAAATTCACTTTCAACCTTACGGACATCACAATGAATAAATCTGCTTTATCCTTGGGATATGGAAGCTCCCTTTTTTATGGAGAGATTCTATTTTCCTAGAGATGATGGTTCTGCCAGGGCCACATCCACTGTGTCTAGCTTCTCCAAGCAGGCTCCAGGTCGCCTAGTGGGAGTGGTGCCCACCGAACGGGACTTCAGGATACAGCCTCCAGCCGCTGTCCCCGCCGCAGAGGGAAGAAGCTGATCGAATCCCCCGGAACCGCCTTCCTTCGAGAGCGAGGCACTCCGGGAGAAGGGAAAGTAGGCATTCAGCTGCCGCTCCAGGACATCCTTGTTGATGCTCGTCTCCCAGATCTGCTTCTGGATGATGCCGCTGTACCTGGCTTCGAAGCTCTTCTGATGCCGCAAGTGCTCTGCCGCCCTTCCGCCCCGCGGGCGTTCCCGCTCCTTTTCGCCGGGCGGGGGTGTGGGTGTGGCCCGCTTGAGGGGACTGCCCAGGGAATCCTCGTCGGTGGACATACCACGGCCGGATAATTAAAATGCGTCTTAACAGAAAGCGAGAAACTTTGCTTGTTATATTGGTAACTTGGAAGTTGGAAGTCGTAACTTGGAATAACAATTCCCGGATAGAGGAACCTGCCGCGTCCGTTGCAGAAACGCGAATAAGTCACGGCAGCCAAATGTTGGCCTGTTATGTGTGCAATTTTTCCCTCGAATGGTATATATTGTTGCGCATTTTGAGGAGAAAAAGTTTTTGCCTCCAAAATAGTAATTGCTCCCCCTTTTGTCTTTCGCCTTGAAGGCACAAATAAAAGTTTTCCTGGTAAAGGTTGGTTGGTTGGGTTTTTTTTTCCACCAGACCATCTACCATTTACCATTTACCATTTAGTCAAAGGTCACAATCGTGCGGCTTTTCGGTGTCGTTTGCTGTCATGCCAGACGCAATGACTCATTGGGCCTTTTGCTTATCCCCCACCATCTATATGGTATGTCCTGGTATCCACAGAAAATACTCACACACTATTGAATCCATAGATATTGAAAACGAATCTAAATACCGCGACGCGTCAGTCATAGAATAACACGATGACTATGACAACTTGCCACGTGTGGCAGGCGGTGTTGCATGGCATGGCATGCCGCTTGATGGATATCCAAGGAATCTCCCTCGCAACGGTTGACAGTTTGTTGTCCCATTATCCTGATGGATATGTAATGTCCATAATTACTTTACGACTGTTTACTTTTTGTCTGTAAAGGAAATAGTTGCCAGGGATATATTTTCTGGAGACTGAAACTAGATTTTTTGCCTAAAAGGATTCCTTTAAAGTCCTCATTTTGGCACCAAAATAAGCCTATAAATTCGTGCCTAAAATGCCACACACATTAAGGCAAAAACTTTAACATAAACTTTATTTTTTTGGCAAACATGCAATATATCCACAATTACATTGATTACGCTCCTTTCACTTGGTAACCCCAACCAAAAAAAAATATCCTTAAAATCAACAACCGAAATCAAAACAAAAGAAAAGGGGCGTGGCACATGCCGCCAACTTTTTCTTCTTTTTTTGTGGAGTAATCCAAAAATAAACTCACAAAAAAAAAACAAAAGAAACTTTCAATGGCAACGAAACAAAAACGAAAATCAATAAACCCAAGAAAAGATTGTACGATATTAATAAGTAGTCCTCCAAAGGACAATAAATACTCTACAAAGGACAAGGAGGATATAAGAGTTTTGAAGAGAAATATGTTTTATTTATAGAACTCAAAAGTTGAGAAGGAAAATCATAAATCTATAGTTGATGTTAGATTTTATGATATTCTTAAGATTTTCTGACAATACGAAGGTCACGAGAAGTGTTTTACAAAAAAAATTAAAAATGTTATTTAATTGCAGCCCTTCATTTATTCTTGAAAGGTCAAACTAAATATATAAATGTACTATATAATTTTAAGACATTTGAGAAACATGCAGAGCATGCCACTTTTCATATAATTTTCAAATAAGCTTTACTAATAATAATTTATATGGTCTGAGGCCTGGAGGTTTTAGGAATATTAATAGATCAAAAGGCGGGTTCTTTCTGTCTAATTTCTACCATACCTTTAATTATATATAATTTGTGTGTCTTGATGAATATTTCAACTTGTGGCCTTCGAATGAAACGCGTGTGGCAAACCTGGCGCAAAGTTAAGGACTTTTGCAAGGACACTTGAGGATAGTACGAGGAGTAGAGACCACATTAATGTCAGTGAACTTTTGGGAATTAAAAGATAAAGGCATACTTTTAAATAATGAAATAAAATCATTTAAAATATATTTTATTAAATAGACCAAATATTATATTTTTTTAAATGACACTCAAGATACTCTAAACTATCAATTCTTTTAAAATGATCTCTACTAAAGCTGACATAGCTCACTGAAGCTAGTACTCAAGGCATCCTCGCCAGAGCAACCAATGCCACTGCCACTGACGGATTCTGTTCCCAACAAACCCTTCTTGGGTAGACTGGGCATGAAGATGTGCAACTGCTTCCGGCTATCTGCGGCGGCGGATGCCAAGCCCCGGCTACTGAGCGGCGGGGTACGTGTCTCCTCCGGCAGCGGCGAGGCCGAGGCTCCACTGTACAGACGGACCGAGGCTAGTTGGCCAGCCATTCTTCTCGTGGTACTGGCACTGCTGCTCAAAGCGCACAGGTCGATATTCCGGGCGGGTCTATTGAGGCGGACAGGCACGCCCTCTTTGTTGAAGATAATAGTTATGGGCTTGGCGTTGGAGGCGGAGGTAGATGCAGTCGAGTTGGTGACCACCGGTTGGACAGGAGCAGGCTTGGCACTGGGCTTCCTGACGGCCACCGATCGCTGGTGATGATTCACAGCCACTGTGGCCACCCTCTTGAGGCTCAGACTGCGATGATGGGTCCTCTGCATCCTCTGAGCCGACCTGGCCAACTGGGCACTGCTTGTGGCAGGAGGCACCGGAGGCGACTCGGCCGCCTTTACAATATCCGTACGTCCTGCCAAGTCCAGCCAATGGAGCACTCTCTCCGCCAGACGCTCTTCAGGATTGTTCGCTGTGCTGGGCAGGACACTACTGGAATCCTGCAGGGAACTGCGTCGGGAGGGATTGTCCGTCAGATGATGCTCTAGGTTGTAGGTCCGTCCTCGGCTCAGCAACCAGGCCCGCCTCTTGGCATGGCGATTGCTATGATGCCGCTGCTCTCGTCCTGATCCTGTCGTGGCCACATTCTGCCCCTGCCTGCCCTGACCCCCCATTTGGGGCAAGGACTGTTGCTGTTGCAGCGTCAGCTTGGTGGCGTCCAGCAGAAGATCTTCGTCCAGATACTCGACACTGCCCTCAGTGGACTCTTGGTAGATTTCGCAGGATTGCGTCTGCTGATAGGTGGCTAGAAAAGTAGGAGATATTAAAGGAAAATCGGGCTTCCAGTCTTTAAGATTTAAACCCACCTTTCAACCTCGTCTTCTGGCGTTTCCAGCGCTGCCTCTGACGTGGCTCGTAGTCGAGGATGAAGTGGCGTCTCCCGATCGCCTCCCGCCACACAGAACGCACGAATAGCGGCCTACTGGCCGACTCCCAAATGGGTCGCATTCTCCCCTGCTCCTCCAGTACTAACCGTCCCTCTGCCTAATTAAATCCTGTGCATATTAATCAAATAAACAAGAGTTGTCCTCGTTCTCGTGCTGGTTCTCGTCCTCTTCCTGGTCGTAGCCAGTGGATGACTGGTTGCTTTGCCAGTTGCCGCCTCACTGCCGCTTCCGCTTCTGTTTGGCTTGACGACGCCGACGACGCCGCATCGAAGGCGAATCGATGTATCTGGGTGACCTGCGGACGCCACAGGGCTGCCGAAAAGGAAAAAGTGTCACTAAAAGGCTAGGGTGTGGGTGGTATATATAGGACAGTCAAAAATCCAGCAATATTCCTTGACTCGTAGATACATTTTACCTTCAATAATATTTAGAATAAGTCTTTAAACTATTTTTAAGATCTAAAATAATATATATTTCATCAGAAACTTAAATTGGGAAATTAAATTGGAATTCCATAAAAATAGACAAAAAAAAATGCAATCCTTTTAAAATTTAAATGAAGGATAAAAAAGCTTCAAATGTTACCCGCATTTTATCCGATCCATAGTTCTTAAGCTATGGATCTTATGCATTATTCCAATAAGTTCACCCATTTAAAAAGCTTTGGAAATATTTAAATTCATAATGTAAATTTTAGTAAACAGGAACTGAATAAAACTTTTAAAACATTACTAGTCCATAGTTCTTACATTCTTTAAAAAGGTATAGAGATCTGGAACCCTATATCCAATATATAAAATCATAAACATAAATGGGCAAAATACCCTTAAAAAAGACCACGTTAGCCAATCCATTTTAAGAAAAACTTAAAATAGTTTATTTTTTTAAAAATCCGATTTAATTATTATCAAACCACAGAGGTCTTAACATTTCCTTTAAGAGATCAGAGAAAAGTATTTATTTATTTAATCATGTTTAGGATTTAATATACATGATTTTAATTAAAATTAAAGAACCGAGGTTGAAAAACATTAAAAAGATTGTTAAAACATTGCATTTCCATACCTCTCAGAGCTCATAATGATTCAGAGATCTATATACCAAAAGTAATATAAAAAATCGGAAATTTAATTTAAATTTAAATTTAAAAAGAATCCTATAATATAGGATAACATCTATATTTGAAAATATCGTTTTTTAAAACTCCGTTTAAAATATTACCAAACCATTAAATTTTCTAAGATCTAAAACCTTAAAAAAAATATAAAAAGCTAAAGGATTACCGCAACCCTGGATCACTATTTGTTTACCGACTGGCGGAGTCGCCTTCCTTTTAGCATTGCGGCGGCTTAAGTGTCTTCGACACGCGAAATGCAACCAAACCGACGCTTGCCCCATGCCCCATGCTCCATGCCGCCAGGCCCCAAACCCTCTGACCCCGGTTGCACGTGCTTTTTTTGGAATTATCTTTTGTATGTCACAGGCCCAGGTTAGACATTTTAATGAGTTGTTGTGGCTGACAGGGGGAGACTGACTGGAAATTACTAAGGCAACAAAAATAGGGATGTCCCTGCGGTTAATCGCTGGGGTCTGTTGCATTCCAAGTGGTTAGCCCCAATTAAATTGATGTTCTCGGATTTGCATACATTTCCGCTTGCATGTCATTTGGTGGGCTGGTATTTGGCCAACAAATGGCACGATGTTATGCCACATGACTGGCACATGTGTGACAGTTGAATGAGGTTGCAGGTCAGGTGAGACTTCCACTTTCGCTGAACTTTCTGGCGAGGCACGTGGCGGCACGACCCAAGCCGAACTCCTCAACATGAATGGCACTCATTAAGGTCCCTAGTAAATATATGTAACATATATATGGTTATGAGCTGTCAGACTGATAACGACGAATAACTGGGTCCACAAGCAAACAAATTACCCCAACAATACTTCAAACTACGCTTCCCTGAACTCAAAACTACAAAAACTCCAGCACTCAGCACTCCACTGCACCACCAACTTTGTTCAATTGAAAAGTAACCCTGGCCTAGCACTTTGGCAGGAAATGCAATTACCAACCCGGACCAGGACCCGGACTCAGGGCCTCTGCCAGAGACTCGGGCTCTCCGGTTCGAGTCTCCGGTTCTCGTTGCACGGGTGTTGATAATAAATATAAACAGAGTCGAAGCATGCAATAAACAAATTGAATTTGCAACCAGTATGCCCAGGGAGGGCAGAGGAGGGAATGGATGGGTCAATGTTGCATGTTGGAGAGTCAATTAAACGCATCGTTGTTAACGTGGCGTATGCGCAATTTTTTTGAAGCAACTCCTATCCCATCCAGTTTGGTTGCAACTCAATTAGGTGGCATCGTCTACGGGGCGCTACGGCAAGGCAATTACAAAACTTTTCAGCAACAACAATCTCAGAGGCTTCGGCAAACGCAATTAGATGGCAGCGGCGGCAGCGGCGGCCCATTTAAAATTGCCTCAGGGTAGAAACTGGGAAAGCAAAGCGTTTTGGGTTAATTGTTAGCAAATGCCTTTTGTTGCAATCAAATTATGTTTGTGCCACCCCGTTTAGTGCCCATCATACCCGAGTTCCTGTACGACATACGACATCCGGACGCACCGCTCGACAGCTATGCCCGGACACCGCTCACCTTCAACACCCCACCGCCGCCGACGCCGTGTCCTTGCAACAAAGATGGCAGCGAGGCAGCCCCGCTGGAGGTCTCCACGCTGAGTCCGGAGGGTAAGTGTTTCTCGCACCAGCCGCCCATAATTAGAGAGTCTGGCACCTGGATGTTAACGAAAATCCTTCCATCCTTCCTTGGCCAGAAAACGAGACCTACTACCGCGAACTGGAGGAGCGCCACAACGAGCTGGTGGGCGAGACTGTGGAAGTGGGTCTGCTCTTCGCCTCCAAGGCCTTCGTCCAGCTTCTGGTTAATCCGATTGTGGGACCCCTAACGCACCGGTAAGCAAGATTGGTAATTGCCAAGTTCTGGCCCAAAGTTAACTTGGTTAAGAGCAAGAAGATTGCCATCCTCATGATCCCGTTCTCCTTTCAGCATTGGCTATAGTATTCCCATGTTTGCTGGCTTCGTGATAATGTTTCTCTCCACCCTGAGTAAGTTGACCCATCATCTCAAGAGATGATCCCTCTCCAATAAAGATCCCTCTTAGTCTTTGCCTTTGGACGCTCCTACCTGGTCCTGTTTGTGGCTCGGGCTCTGCAGGGAATTGGATCCTCCTGCTCCTCGGTATCGGGCATGGGCATGCTGGCAGATCGCTTCACCGACGACAAGGAGCGTGGCAATGCCATGGGCATAGCTCTCGGTGGCCTGGCCCTGGGCGTCCTGATTGGTCCACCGTTTGGCGGCGTCATGTACGAGTTTGTGGGAAAATCGGCTCCGTTCTTGGTCTTAGCTGCTCTGGCCTTGGGCGATGGTCTTCTCCAGCTGTTCATGTTGCAGCCTTCCATCCAAAAGGCCGAGTCGGAGCCCCCATCCTTGAAGAGCCTGATCAGTGATCCGTACATTCTGATTGCTGCCGGAGCCATCACCTTCGCCAACATGGGCATCGCCATGCTGGAACCTTCGTTGCCGCTGTGGATGGTGGACAACATGGGCGCCACCCGTTGGGAGCAGGGCGTGGCCTTCCTTCCCGCCTCCATCAGTTACCTGATTGGCACAAACCTCTTCGGACCACTGGGACACAAAATTGGTCGCTGGTTTGCCGCCTGTCTGGGACTAGTTATCATCGGAGGATGTTTGATATTTGTAAGTTTTAAAAATATATAATTTAATTATTAATATTTTAATTCAGATTAGTGGAGAATTAAGAAAGATATATACTGCAAGGTGCAGTCATGGTTTTATCCAAATATAAACCTTTCTTGAACTTCCTTCCCTTATAGATTCCCATGGCCACCTCGATTACCCACCTGATCATCCCGAATGCCGGACTGGGCTTTGCCATTGGCATGGTGGACTCCTCGATGATGCCGGAACTGGGCTACCTGGTGGACATCCGGCACTCGGCCGTCTACGGCAGTGTCTACGCCCTCGGCGACGTGGCCTTCTGTGTAGGATTCGCCGTAGGACCGGCTCTCTCGGGATCACTGGTGAAGAGCATCGGCTTCGAGTGGATGCTGTTCGGAATCGCCATCCTGTGCTTCATGTACGCCCCACTGCTGACCCTGCTCAAGAATCCGCCGACCAGTGACGAGAAGAAGGTACGTATGGCTCGGGAGGCGGCTGAAGCTGCCGCCGCCGAAGCTGCCGCTGCTGCAGCGGATTCCCAGGTGACGGCATCCTGCCCAGCCATCATGCATGGGACATCCGTGCCCCCGGCCACAGACAATGTGGATGCAGAGGCGGGCAGGACGAACGAGGGATACGAGAGCGAGCGGCTCTAAAATGACAATCTTTAGCTTTTACTTTAGTTTTTAATTTTTTCCCGTATTATTAGTCATTATCATTGTTTTTCTTAGAACTAAGTTCTTCTTAATTTTGTAATAAAAGTTTATAATTTTATTTAAGAGCGCTGCCTGAGTTTCATTTGCCTTGAGCATGTAGCATTATATTTTAAAATTAATTAACCAACTAACCCTCTAATAAATTTTAATTTTCTTTCAGTCCTTGATCTATGGACGTGATCGGGCTCAGGTACGTTATGTCACCTATCAAAACTACGATGAAGACGAATAAACGGAAACGATTAAAGAAAATGCAATGTCGCCTACAAGTGCGGCCAAAAATGAAACAAAAAAAGATAATAAGTAACTAAAAGATAAAAATCCAAAAAAAATATGGAGTAGAGAGGCAGAAAAGTATCCATAACCACAACCAACAATATCAGCAATATCATATGAATTTTCGATTGAAAACAAAAAAGTTATTCTTGTTCAATGTTATGCTATAGTCTTAATATAAACTCCCCGAACCATATCAAGAATTCACCTCCCCCTCGAAATATTTGCACACGTTATACTCAAGCACACTGAAAGAAATAGATTGTGAAAGTTATAGGCTCTGAGAATGAGCACTTTGTTCGATTCGACGGGTAAAATTATATAGTTTCATTAGAGAAGATTAGAAAACCAAAAGCCAAAGAACCCTACTACGTGTTGGAGGCAATTTATGATCCAAATGGAAACAAGAAATCTACGGATTTCGGGAAGAAAGTGCAGAAGAGCTCTCGGAGCTACGAAGAGTCCTTCCTCGGAAGACTCTACTCCCAGCAGGGAAGGTTTAATGGTTTTTCCAAAAAGCAAGCGCCAGCAATTGCATTGATTTAATGGTTTTTGTTTTTAAGAGAACAAATCTATATTTAAGGATTAAAACTAAGAAGGAATGCCAAAATATTTTCTGAGAACTATCCAGAATCTCTAGGAAAGTAAAGGAAGAATGAGCATACTTTTTTATGAATTTAGTTTCTTTATTTTTAGGATTTAGTTCATTTTAAAAAACACTTAAAATTCTAGAAATTAATCTGAGAAATTGTGAAATTCCACGAATGACTGCCAGGACAGTTCAACTCCAGCCTAGAGCCGGAATCAATCTGTCCGGGCAGAGTCACTCATGCAACTCCACAATATCCACATCTTCAGATCCGCATCCTACGCAGATTGTCGGCATACACGTTGATGTTCACCTGGCAGGCATCATGTCCAGACTGACTGCTGTCACTGCGCCGACGAAATACAGTTCTGGGGGCTGGCATCGCCGTCACTGGCTCCCTCACCGTAACTTGATTCATGGAGAACTCCAGATCCCGGTCCCCGGGTCGCGTGGTAGTTATCCGTATGGGGACATTATTTAGCCGGGTCACAATTGCAGGTCCTCCGTTTATCTGCTTCGATTCGCTCAAGCGGCTGTTGGACACGATCCGCGTGGCTGCCACTGACACATGGACATTGCCGTTGGAGGTGCCGGAACTCCTGGAATTCCGGCTGGAAGAGCGATCGGATGTGCCAGTCCGTAGGGGAGTTAAAGATCGATTGGAGCTCCTTAAGGGAGTGACGTTGCGGGGGGCATTCCGGGTGGGCGTGGGTTGGCGGGAGGAACTACCAATCTGTGGGTGATTCCGAGTAGGAGTGGGATTTCGGCTATGCACTGGATTTCTGGTAGTGGAATTCGGGATGGGCGTAGAACTCCGGGAGGGTGGTACACTCCTAATGGGCGTTGGAGTACGATTGCTATTCCGTACAGGCGTGTCACTCCGGGAGCTGATCACCGCAGTCCGTCCGACAGACGATCGTGAAGAAGAACGAAGGGGCGTTGATGTCGAGACCGGTGGCGGGGGCAGCGGAATAGCTACTGCCTGATGACGAACCGGAGTCGCTGTCCTCGTATCCCGTCGTGAAGGAACATCACAAAAGGGCATCATTCCGGGCAAGCGATCATCCGAGGCCGGAGTATACAAATGCGAAGTCATGGGAACTGGAGAAGGTGGTGGTACTCCCGCTGCCCGCGTCGGTGGCTGATGACACAGTTGCTCCTGGAACTCCACCAGACGATTATACTCCCTTTGCCGCTGAGTTTCTCTCTCCAGTTCCCTGAGACGCTGTCGCTCCCGCTCCGTCTCCAGGGCGAGGAGATGCTCCCGTTCCCGCTGCCGCTCCAGCTGCCGCAGATGCTCCCGCTCCTGCTCCCGCCGCCTCATAAACTCCCGCTCCTGTTGGAGCTCCCGCTCTCGTTCTTTTTTTAGTTCCTCCTGGTGTTGGCGCTCTCGAAACAGCACCTGCTCCCTTTTCAGTTCCACTTCCCGTTGCCGTTGACGCCGCTCCCAGTCCGGACTGGTCCGGGGCTTGGTCTCACTAACGTTGAACTTGGACAGGCGCTTGTCAATGCCAAAGGAGGTGCCGGCCGCTCTGGATCCAGAACTACCCGAGCGATTCTTGCCGGAACTCGACCCCGACCTGACCAAGTCCTTGTTGTTGAGGAGACAGGCATCTGTTTCGATCTTGATGCTCACATTGTTGTCCACCTCCGACTCCGGGTCCACTCCGACTCCGCAGATATTGATGTTGATAGCGCAGCCGCTGCAGGCACTCCGCTTGGTCTGCAGCTGGCCATTGGAGCCACAGGCAAAGGTGGTGACCGAGGCGCTCCTGGCATTTCCTGCCAAACTGGCGCCGCCATTGCTGGTGCAGGTCCTTAGAGAGGAAGTGCTCTGGCCACGTCTCATAGTCTGGTATTCCCCGCGCGAGCAGCACGTCCTCAGGAGCGGGGAATCCGTAACCGTGGGTGAAACGGGTGGACGTCGCGGCTGCGGGGCCACCGGTACACTGCGCTGACGTTCCGGCATGGGAATCAAGGGAGACCGCATCGTATGCGAGGGCACAGCCTTAAAGTCCTGCAGGAATCGCCGGCGCCGATGCTCGCTAAACGAACTGGTCGGCGGTGGCCTGTTCACCGAGGTATACTCCGAATCCCGGTTGAACTTCGGATTAAGGTAGAAAGTCTCGAACGAGGGCTTCCTGGCGGGCGGTGGGGCCGATGGAGGAGGTCTCTGGTAGTGCTGGACGTGGTAGACGGGCTTGTCGGCATACCGGAAGTTGTACGATTGAATTTTGAAGGGGTCGCCGTGGAAGACATCGCTCACGTGGCGTCGCGATGCACCTGGGAATGATAAAGAAGGCCCTGGGATTAGTTGTTCTTATTTTGTAGTTCTCCCCTGGTTTTTGACAAACAAATAGGGATTCATCGAACTGGAGTAGAATCAGAACTTACACAAAATACGATTCATTTGGGGGGCAGATAATTTTGGGCTTTCCAATGAAGTTCGGCCAAAGGGATTGCGCGCTTGAAAGATGCGTGGCAATCATGTAAGTGGATTTTTTTATTTAGAAAACTTTCAAAACAATTCCGAAAATGGGGGATTTAATATTTTTTTCATAGATCTAGAACCGAAAACCCAGGCAACTTTGGTTCTCGGTTCTCGGCTCTGAAAAAACACAAAACCATTAAAACTTTTTGGCAATACGGCGTAGCTAGTGGATGACATTATTGGACACAACTCCTTAATGGGGTCTCCAACCTTCCTTAATCAAATCAATTTCATATTTCAAGTTGTTATAAAGCTAATATAATCTACTCAATATAGTAAACTATTTAATATATAATCGAATCTTGTAACATTTGTTGCCCACATAGCACACACACAAGTTATCTGACAAAATAAGGGAATTAAATCGTAAGCTATACCCGGAATAGGTATATAAACCTTTCCATAGTTAATCTTAGCCAAGGTATATGTGCAAAATATTGTATAAAGACCTTAGTTGCATTTTAGGTTTCATCATTATTATAAAGTAAGGAACAAAGTCGCTAAAGTGAGATTCTCATGAATTTTTAAAAGATATTCCCTGACAGAAATTTCAAAGCTTCGCACCCAATTCATCACAATATTCCCTCATAAGTATTACCGACTTTATTCCATGACTTACTCAGATCGCTTTGGATCGTCGGGATATAATCGCGGGTCACTTGAATGGCTGCAAGTGTCCTTTAGCGTTGCGAGTTCGTGTAAAATCCTACATTTTAAATGCAAAATCCGCCAATTGTTGGGCACTATGAGAAACAATATTTTGCACACGTTAGCCACAAATATTAAACATAATTTAAAAAGGAATTAAATCTCTGTAAAGGCCGAAATGGTCGCTCGAAACACAAAGACAAGAAGGCCAACAAAATGTAGTTAATCGCAGGTATACAATGAGGTTATATTGACAAATTGTACATACGCATAGCTGAAATACTTGCTGATTATCATTGTTGTGAAGAAGACATAAAGTTACCTAATCCTTAAAACAGTATATCAATCCAAACATGGCACACAAGAGATTCTACTTTGTGTTCGTGCCATACGACTTTCCACGCTTCGAAGAATTGCCGAATTCAATCATGCAACACGCGTTCTTAAATAATTATGTAGCTAATGGAAACTCTTTTGAAAACTCCTCTTCTAGTAAATATTTAGTACAAAAGACATTGTACAGGGTGAGCAACAGGTATCCAATACAATATCGAAAATAAAAGGTTTTGTTCGGTTTTCATAAAAATTGTTGTGTAAGTTAATGCTTTGCTCCTCCAGGATGACAACATGGAGGGACTCAGCATTCCATATAAACGTGTGAATTAGACAATATAGCGTATAATTATAGTGACTATATATGTATACTATCCTATGTATAATTAATCAATATACTTACTATTCGTATTCCAGTCGTTATTGTTGCCTAACTATGTTCAAATGTTGCATAAGTGTTATACAAATCCAAAAAAAAAGCTGGTATGGGGTCAAACAAACAATGCTAGAAACTAACTAACCAAAGCGTTTTGTGCACAGTATTCAAGTAATCACTATTCTTACACTATCTATTAACTATATTTAACTAAATACGATTTACTGTATGTATTTGCAACCTAAGATAATCGCACACACATACTCTCTCTCAAAAGTTCGTCTTCGAATGACCGCAAATATGAAAAACTATAGTTTAGCGCGAGCATATTAGTCAAAAATAAACTAACTAAATATTAAATATGGTAAAATATTATTATAATATATAATAGTCCTTAGACGATTATCACATTTTTACTCGAAAAACCTTGAAGCTACTCATGTCATGCCATGCCATGTTTATAGGGTGAGAACCGGGAGAAACCAGAACACGAACCTACTATTTGTAACGACAAATTGGTGACCAAGTAGAATATATTGCAAACATTTAAATTTAAATACGATATGATATTCAAAAAGTTAAATATATGTAAACCTATTTTCTAGTCATTGGACGTACGTATTTATTTCATAGAGATATTGCTAACTAAGCTGATACCGATATCGGGAAAACCAAACGAAATTGCGTTGAGTTAATACTATACTCGCCCATCATACACAGAAACAAATACTAAATTGGAACAATTGCAAATGCTAAATACAAATATGTAACTGAAGTTGTTGGTGAATAAACAAGCTACAAAACATTCCCCTCTTTTATTTTCCCCTCAAAACGACATTCGTACAATTTAAATTAAAACTTTATTGGGTGGTCTCGCTTAATATTTACATCGAATTCAAAAGAATATGTTTCAAACTTAATCAATTGGTATTACGCAGCCCCGGTAAAGTCCGGCATATATATATATATACGTACACAATATATAGTAGTCCTAATTCTCAAATTTGCTATGTATGGTATATACATTTTGTATATGGGTAGATTGTTCAAGATAAGGTCAACTTTTAGAAAGCCACAAAAATAGGGATAGTGTAAAATGTCAAGAACGTTTTAAACCTTAAACTAATTCCGTAATTGTGTATCTAAAACACTAGGATTCGGGTGCGATTCGAGTGCATGCATTCATGGGCAACCCTAAGCAGTCGCCTTGGAGTCATCCAGCTGGGAGGTGTCGTGCTTCTCCTTGGCGAACGAAATAATTTGGTTCAGACTTTCGCCCAGCTCCTCCATCACCTCGCGCTCCGTGTCCTCGATGGGTAAATTCTGTTTTTCATGCATCACTATTCGCGATATCATGCACATAATGGTGGCCTCGATCACGTCGTTCGTGAGATAGAGATTCGAACGATTTTCGATCTTCTTTTTGTCCTTGGAACCTTTGGCTTTGCTTGGAGTCTCCGCACCCACCACACCGTCCAAAGAGTCCATGTCAACATCCGGACGATCCTCCATATTGCGACAACCTGTAAGGGCATTATTTTAGTTTGGTTACAGATGGAAAGTGCTGGTCCTACTTACCCACGCATTTGCATATGCTGGTGCAAGGAATCTTTGCCTCGTAGCATTCACAATAATTTTTAAGGCAGCCTGATCTCTTACAGTTGCAACCTTTGTTATGCAGTCGCATATCCCCCGAGTTGGGGGCCGTAATTTTGGGTCTAAAAGTACATTTATCAATTAATCAGATCCCATAACCAGTTTTGGATAAGTAACTCACTTGAAGGCGCTTGGATTACGGTCCAAACAACTCCGAATGGCTCGCTCTCGCTCCACCTCGTAGTCAAGATTGTTGAAGCAGTCCTTGCAGGTGCAGTTCTGGCAGAACTCTCCATTGGCAAAGCAGTCGCAATACAGCTTCAGACACTGGGACTTGCTACAGTTACAATGCTTTCTTCGAGACGCCCCTATTCCACTCAACGCTTCGGCGGCCGCTCCTGTTCCGCTGGCCGGTGGCTTCAAAGTGTCGTACAGCGGCTGAGTGGGTCCCAAAACCTTCAGGTATTGCGTACCTTGCGTTGGTAGCGTTTGTGAACTAGAGTCGGGTGCCTTGGCCTGCTGCTGGTTCTGCAGCTGCTGCTGCCTGATCCTTTGCTTGGCCTGCGCCTGAACTTGCAGCTGCTTCTTCTGCTGAGGATTGACTTGGCTTAGACGTTGCTTGGTGGCCGCCAGGGACGTTCGCATTTTGTTGTCCATATACCCCGTGTACCCACGTCGCATGGCATGTGTCATTGTCTGCGGATTGCGAATCATGTACTTCACCCCATTGCCGCCCGCCGATTTGATAACATTGTATATCTTCTTCGGGGGACTGGGACTTTCTTTCTCGGGCGAGCGTCCAGCGAGATTCGTCCCCGATTGCGTAGAAGACTGCAGCTGGGGTTTCCCCTGCTGCATGGTAATTACGTAGCGCGGCTTTTTGGCCTCCGGACCCGAGTCGCTGGCTTCGTTGACATCGCTGCCAGTGGTCGTCTGCTTTAACTGTGTGTTGAGATCTGTGAGCCGGTGCTTTCGGATGGGTTCCGTGTTCACCTCAGTCGCTGATGACTTGGTTGCAGTGGAGTTGGCGCTCAGCGCACGCTGCAAATAAAAAAAAATTCGATTTAGAGAACCATATTCGATTAAATAAATCAAAAATCCACTTACCTTGGAGACGAACGTCTGCACGGAGGGCAAGGGCACAATACTGCCTCCCGTGGACTTCACAACAATTTTGCTGGCCGGGCTAGGACCTGCCTTGCTTCCAGCTACCGAAGTAGCTGCATGAGAAGTCGAGATTGTGGTGGTAGAGGTTGCAGTTGCTCCAGACGGCGATCTTAATAAGGTGATCTTCTGCCCGCTAGGAGTGGGCTTCGCTGTCGTAGCTGTCGTGGCCCCGACGGCACCCTTGTTGTTGGACAGAACCCGTACATACTGGACTCCACCCTTTCCCGGCAACTGAATGGCATGCAATCCACTCACAGACGCACTACCCGAGGCAGAAGCTGTGGTGGTGGCAGACGACTTTGGTGACAACTTGATAATGTTTTTACTGGACACCAAGATTTGTTTGCCTCCACTCTGGACCACCATTTTGCTCGGAGTCGTGGGAGTCGTTGGACTGCCAGTCACCACTGGTTTTGGTGCAGGAGTCGCTTTAAGCACCACTTGACTGCCTGATTTACTGATCACCACATTGGCAGTGGTGGGCTTAACAGATGGAGCCCCTGCCGCCACTGTCGCCTGCGGCTTGGCATTCAGCAACACTGATGGACTCGATTGATTGATTTTTATGATCTTCCCATCAGTCGTGCGGACAACTTGGAATTTGGCGGGTGATCCTGGCGTTGAGGAAGAGGCTGTAGATGAGGGCGATGGCTTCACACTGCTTCCTTGAGTCACGGAAGTAATACCCTTGAGGGTAATGGCCGAGTTTGACGGGCGTCCCGGCACTGCAGCTTTAACCAGACCCGTTCCCGCCACGGCCACGCCTTTGGAGAGAACTGCCTTTTGAATTCCCGCCGGAGCCACAATGCGGCGAATGCTTCCGGTTGGTGATCCGGTCACCAATGTTTTTGTGGACGAAGGCGGTGTGCCGGGTATAGACTTCTGGACAAAAAGCACCCTTCCGTCAGGTGTCTTGATTTGTGTCATGCTACTCAGAGCTTTGGATGTCCCGGCAGCAGTGGATGTGGACGCAATAGTAGTGTTTCCTATTTTGAGTGTATTGCTGGTAACGATTGGTTTTAACTTGTTGAGGATCTTAACGTCCGTTATTAGCGGTTTGTTTGGATTTAAAGAGGTGGTTCCTGCTCCACTACCAACCGTGGATGCTGACCCTGCTGTGACCACTTTAATAGCATGCGATTTGAGAACGGTCACTCCGGGAGTTTGTCGTTTTTCCTGAAAAACGGTTTTTTTAAACTGTGGTGTATTCAGGGACTCATCCTCCCTGTCGACGACATTGTCATCCGAGCCCCTCGCATCGTTGTCCATGTGCTGACCGCCCTTTTCCGCCGTGGGTTCTATTAAATCTTCGAAACTCAGCTCGGGCAGGGGAGTGTTGTCATCGAGGAATTCTGCAATAGAAAAGTCATATTATTCACACTGCCAGTAAGTTGAATAAGCTCTCTTATACCGGAAGTATAGCTAAGGCGGTTATTTGCCATTTTTTTAATTTTTCAATTCAATTTCAAAATTTTCTTTATCATCAGCTGCTGTAGAGGCGGTTGCAATGTATCGTTTACCAACACTTGACTATTATCAGGGGGAACTGACGATAACACGAGTCTATATCGATAATGTTTTAAGAAAAATCGATTGCTTAGGCGCCAACTTTTAAATCGTACTTGGTGATTAAAAGTAAAATAAATAGTTTTCTAGCTTCGATTGGGTTTATTATCTCGACAGTGATGAAGCGCCAACAACTTATACAATATGCATAAAAATCGCTTAAGAATATGATTTTATTAATGACTGACAGCGTCCTGGTTGTAAGGAAGTCTACTTCTTGGCGGCCACCTTCTTCTCTCGCGCCTTCTTGCCCTCGGTCAGTTCGGATCGCTGCGACTCGGACAGGGCAGGCATGATCTTGGTGACCACGCCAGTGCCCAACGTCAGGTTACCGTCACGCAGTGTGAAGCGCTGGCCCTGCTCCAGCACCATGGGACGGATGAGGCGCAGAATCAGCTTGGTGTCCTCGCCGGGCATTACCATCTCCTTGTCGGGAATCTGCACCTGTACGGCGCAGTCCCACGTACGCGAGAACATCTGAAGCTGGATGAATGACATGAAGGGTTTGGTGCGGCCACCTTCGTCCTTGGACAAGATGTAAACCTGCGCCTCCAGTTGGTCGAGCGCTTTGACGCTGCCGGGCTTGCACATGACCATTCCGCGCTTGATATCGTCGCGCTTGACGCCACGCACCAAAGCTCCCAGCTGGTCGCCGGCCTGAGCCTCCTCCAGAATTTGATGGAACATCTCCACGCCAGTCACCGTCGACTTGAGCACCTTGTTGTAGCCGACAAACTCGCATTCCATGCCCTTCTTGACCACACCGCGCTCCAGGCGACCAGTGACAACGGTACCACGTCCGGGAATCGAGTAAACATTCTCCACGGGCAACAGGAAGGGTTTGTCTAGCTCACGAACTGGAGTCGGGATGAAGCTGTCTACCTCCTGCAGCAGTTTCAGGATCGCCTCCTTGCCGATTTCGGGGCTCTTGTCTTCCAATGCACACAGCGCCGATCCCTTGACGACAGGAATCTTATCACCATCATAGCCCATCTCAGTTAACAGCTCGCGGATCTCCATTTCCACCAGGTCCACCATCTCCTGATCGGCGGCATCTACCTTGTTGATGAAAACCACGATGTGGTCGATGCCAATCTGCTTGGCCAGCAGCATGTGTTCGCGGGTCTGAGGCATAGCACCATCGGTGGCAGCTACAACCAGGATAGCGCCGTCCATCTGGGCCGTTCCGGTGATCATGTTCTTGATGTAATCCGCATGGCCGGGGCAATCGGTGTGTCCGTAATGGCGGGTTTCCGTCTGGTACTCTACGTGGGCCACATTAATGGTGATACCACGCGCCTTCTCTTCCGGGGCATTATCGATCTCATTGTACTTTTTGCTCTCGGCCAGCTGCTTGTCGGCCAGAACCTTGGTAATGGCCGCTGTCAGGGTAGTCTTGCCGTGATCCACATGGCCGATGGTGCCCACGTTGCAGTGAGGCTTGGTGCGCTCAAACACCCTCTTCTCGTTGGCGTATTGGCGCAGGTACTGCTGCAGGTTGCCGGTGCTGGCGGCGAGAAGGCCTTGGCGGTGCCAGTTCTTGTGGGCTGCGGAGGAGGCAGTGGTGGCAGCAGCTAGGCGCAGCATTTTCGTCGCCGTGGAGGAGCTCATGGTCCGCCGGCTGCAACGCAGAGCCAGGGGGGCGGCGGACCGGCAGACAGCGGCGGCAAATGCATGTGACATGGTTCTGGGCTTCCGCTGGCTCTCCTGTAGTGCTTTCAACTGAGGAAGTGGCTTTTAAAGATGCTGTTCCAACACAATTTTATGCCAAGGCACTTACGAGTTTAGTGTGGGGCCTTTTTACAGGTCTTGAAAGAAAATCTTAGCACGACTAGAAATTGCGTAAACCCTGAAATGTGCTGCGGGCAGAGTTGCCATCTAGATGCAATTAATCGATAGCCCGCTGTACTTTTTACAGCGCATTGGCAGCTCTTTCTGACGTTATGCAGGGAAATTAATTTTTGCGCGTTTTTTTTCACCTTTTACATGTTTGCGCCTTCAGACACTTCTCATTTGACAACGCTTGCATAATCGCAAGTGCGAAATATATAATATATCTCGCTATATACCACATTTGAGGCCCTTATTTAGAGCTATCTAAAACAGCCCTCAAGACTGTACCCCACCAAAACACCAACACAAACACATATCAGCGTACATGTGTCCAAAAGTCTGGCAAGGTTAGATGGGATATTTGATTGGGATGTTCCCACTTCGTTAAAAGCACTTTCGTTTCGTCAGCAGGTCGCGGAATATTTTTAAAAAACGATAAATGTAGCTTATTGATAAGGTCAAAAGCCTCAATGCGTCCAAACAGGATATAATTGCGACCTTTAGTTACCCTGCCAGGTGTGAAATCCAGGTCTAAAGGGCAGGCGCAGGAAGGGTAACATTTGCGCGCCAGTGGCCCGGGGACGTGGGCCAACTGCCATGCTAGGTACACGCTGTACTTGAAAATTCAATTTCAAATACGAATTGAAACGACTTACCCAAATTGCCATCGGAAGTATCCATATTGTTGGCTTCTTGTTTTCTTTAAACTGGCGTTAGTCCGAAGGTGCTTTGTTTTGATTCCGCGCCCCACACACAGCAGGGCAAAACAAAATGAAAATTTCTCCGGTGCTATAACAAATGGGAATGAACTCTCGGCTTCACGGGCAAAGCGGTCACAGCTAATCAATATATATGTATGCACGACACTCTCCCTGCTGTTTCAAATTTCATTTGAGCCGTTATTTTCCGTTGATTGCACTTAATTTGAACAGAAAATTCAAAATTTAATTTAAATTTTACTCAACTCGCTGCCACTGCATGTTGATGAGACATTAAATTTATCAAAGTTGGAAAATCAAGGCTGCACTGGAGTTTATCGAAAAAGTGCGATATCAACAGTGCTGGAAAACGGGGCTGCCAATCGGGGCGCGAAAACGTTTTTTAGAAGGTCGCGGGGGCAGCTGGAAACAAAATCTGGATATAATTCCATTTTAGTTATATTTAAAATATAATTTTAATGTAAATCAGAAATTTGCATAGCCCTAACCAAATTTTTATGGAAAAAAATCGCTTCTTAGTGTTGGAAAGCGCTGAAATAAGAACGACCGCCTAGACGCGATTTGAAAGAACATCCACTATCAAATTAGGAACTTATAATTTAAAAAAACTCATGGATTTTATTTTTTATTTTAATATCTTTCAGCCAATTAGCTGCGCAGTTCCAGATTTATAATTTACTAAATTCTAACAAATCTGGAGATAATATTTTTCTTAACAAACAATCCAAACTACAAAATTATAAACACATGAAATTTAAATTTTTAAAACAAAAACTACATAAACTCGGATGAGGGTCGAAGATGCACTCTTCGGTTGCGCAGCGTATATGATCGCGGTGTACGACCGTTTTCTCCCACGGATGCGCTAGAATCCTGGCTAGATTCGTTTCTCTTTTCGAGGGATCGTCGCTCTTCTAACGACATGTCTTCTTCGCAGTCCTCCAGCTTATCGACGCCCCCATCGCTGATGTTGCCCTCATCATAGGTGAACTCGAAGCGGCGAACTTTCTTCTTGGCACTGAATATAACTCCTCGATTTTGGCGCTTCAGAGTGCCTGGCGTTTTTAAAATGGAGGCGCGTGGTCGGGGTGGGGTTTTATTGGCCACATTTTGCTCCGCCGCCGCAATCAGTGCCGACTTTAGGAGGGCATTGGGAGCGATAGAGGGACGTCCCTCGCCAGTAGACATACGGATGACCGTGCGAGCCGGGGAGAAGGATTTACGATCGCGCACCACAAATACGCGTGAGCTACGGCGCTTAGGTGTGGGTGGGGCATCACTGCTCTCCTGTACTTCCTCCACTTTGGTTTTCTTCATGTCGGCATGGGCCTTGCGAAGGAACTGCTGCAAGCTGCTAGAGGGCTTGGCTTTTGATTTGATCTTCATGTTTCGGGTAAGCTTCGGCTTTGCCTTGGGTTCCTGCTTTGCAATCTTAACTTCTTCGACAACTGCATCAGGATCGACCCAGTCGTTGGCCTTCCAACGGTTCAGATTATCAAACCGCTTGTCTACGTTCTCGCTTTGAAGGCGCAACATGTCCCACCATCCCTCCAAATCCTCGGGCTGCACCGGCTTGGTGTCCTCGCTGCCGTCATTCGGCTTCTTGTTCTTTCCTGTGGCGCCCTCCTCACAGCGATCGATCAGTCCGCTAAACTGCATCATTTTCTTACTTGTCAGTAGTCGCGTCTGACCAATGGTCACGTTAATCATGTCCATGCCACCTGTCTCCATTAATCGAGTCTCGTTTTCCCGGCTATATGCCTCCCATTCACTGCAGAGGGAATGAAGCCGTTTGATCTCCGTTTCCAGCTGCAAGCGGAAGTACAGCACGGATTCGATGGCCCTGCGAACTTCCACAGGCGCATCCTCGTCTGGCAGGTACATGCTGTTCCGCTTTTCACGTTCGCTGCGAGAATTCACCTTGCCCCGCGAAACGCTTACATACGGACTCAGATAGTTGGGCAGAGAATCGCGGCGTGGCGGTGTCTTCTCCATTGCAGGCACAAGAGTGGAATCTACAGAGTCTCCTAGGGAACAAGAAAAGTTTAAATATTTGAAGATTTTGTTAAAAAAGCACATTGCTTTTGGGATTTTGAAAATAACAATATTAGTAAGTCATACTCACCCAACTTTTTCTGGGAATTCAATACTAACGTACTGTCCGCCGCCAACTCAGGTGCTGGTTTATCTTCTTGACCTGAAATGAGTTGAAATAGTGTCATATTTTCATAAAGTGTTTATGATAAGTCTGATCCACTTACCTATCTGCGGTAGGGGATCCAAAATCAACGAGTCCTCCAGCGGCGAGTTGGCCACCGAGTATCGTGTAAAGTCGAACTTTTTCTTGGCAGCCGGGAGTGGCTTTTGAACTGCCTCCTCCGCTGGCAGCAACTGTCTCTTCGCTGAACTGCCTTCTTCGCTTTTGGCCGGAGCCAGTGGACTTAAAGAAATCAAGTCTCCAAACGCCGCTTCAAGGCTTGCGTTGCCATTCTGCCTACACTGTGTGGATGTATTCTGAGCCAGGAAGGGGTTCTCCGCCTGGTGCTCCTCTAGCGGCGTGTTTGGTGGCAATTCTATGGTTGCTGCCTCAATCAACTCCGACTTGAGGCCGGGCATTAGGCGTGCCTTCTTCTGAAGATTCAGGTAGGATTTCTTTTCAATGCCGGCTTTCATGCGTGTGGATTTATTCACTGCTGCACTTTTTGTCGCAACTGATGCCTTGAATTTCGACGCTGCCCCTCCACTACCTCCTCGAATGGGTTGGGGCTTTATGATTTTGGCGCGCCGGGCTTCCGCAACTCGGTTAACTGCGGGATTTTCAAACGGCTGGTTCCTTACATTGGGCAACTTAGGAGCGGGTGCTGCAGGGGCTTCGGCCTTGAGCCGCAGTGCGGTGGGGGGTCTAGGTCGAACTATGGCGGGTCTGGCAGGCATGGGTTTGGGAATTGTGGTACGTACTGCAGTGCCGGAGGGCACTCTGGGTCGTAAATTGTTGGTCGGAGGCCTTACAACTGTAGGTTTAGGCGGTGGTTTGGCTAAAGATCCGGGTTTGACTGCAGAACCAACTGGCTGACGGAAAGTGGGAGTTTTTAAAGGCTGTTGGATAGGCTTGTTAGATGGAGTGGGTGCATTGGTCTTATGTCTGCTTCCGAATGTTGCGCCGACCCGTTGGGTTCTTAAAGGTTCTAGCTTCGTTGCACTGGGCTCCTTGCCTTTGCCTTTAGTTGTGGGATTGGCAATAACATAGATGGATGCTCGCTTCGGAGGCACAAAAACAGGAGGATCCTCGGCTTCAGAGGGAGCTGTGACGGTTTTGGGCGCCTTAAAGGCTTTTGATTGGTGAAATGTAGTTGTCTGATTGGCGGTTGTGGCAACCGGAGCCCCTCGACGCGCCTGGATCTGCTGTTTGCGTTCCTCCTTCCGCGTATTCTTCCATTGCATGAATCGCTGAAGGAACTGCTGATGTCGGGCTGTTTTGGAAGTGCCAGGCAAATCCTTCTGGACTGGCTCAGAGCAGATTGGCTGCAGTGGCGGCTTCTGATCCGCCGGTTCTCCCATCTCCTGCTTGGGCAACTGGTTCTCCTTGGACTCCACTATTTGTGGCGACGCCGGAGGCGGGTGCTTGGCCTTGATGGGAGTGGGACTAGTGCTGATGATGCGATTGCTGTGGAATACATCCTCCCGTTGCTTGGCGCGCGCCGCCCGTTGCCGTTCCCGATTGGACTGGCAGTGATTGCGCGGGCTCAGGGCCAACGACTGCTCCTTGTACAGTTCCTTGTAACGCTGCATCTTGCCGGAAGCTTCTCCAATGTGCCACTACAGAGCTGCTGCAATTACTCGTACTTATTTTTTTCGAAAATGGCGAAGCGTTGGACGCGCTCTGTGTATTGAAATTTTTAGGCGTTTGAAGCGTCAGTGCCAGTGTTGGCAAGGATAGCATTAAGTAATCGATAGGCAAGGCCAAGGCGATATTTGTCTCTAGCACCTGAATTACAGTGTTTTCCAATACTTATTGAGAAAAAATAACACTCTTGGTGTGTGTTGGAGGTTTGTCTTAAGCGCTATTATTAATTGTTCCGGCGAAATTATAAATTGAAATTTAAAAGCGTCTTTGGCTGTGTGAACTATTGCGAGTGCTCTAGTATGGAATAGTACACTATTGCTGTGTAATTTTAAAACAAACAACAACGTCACCGCGGCAGCATTGCCAGCAGCACAACGCCCACCCGCCATTTTGAGAGCGAAGCAAGAGAGCGGCTGGCAATTTTCGAGAAGGCCAGATCTGGTAACACTGCTCTGCCTGGGCAAGTCGTCGGTGTATTTTTAATTCGTCGCTTCCTCGCCCAAGTTCCAGAATTTCGGCCAGAAAATCGCGGCGCGCCGTGGAATTCACGAGTTATTGTTTATATAATGCGGCTAAACTAATAGCGCACCGTTTATACATCCACAGCACCACTAGAGCGGGGAGAGCCACCGAGAATCGCAACCTGCCGTGTATGCCGATGCGCGTGTGTGTGTGTGTGGTGCAACAAGGCTGACAAATAAAAGAAAAAAAAACCATAAAAGCAATATAATTAAAAGTAAACTAAGTAGAAACGCACAAAAACCAGCTGCCAAAATATGGAAGCAATCGCCAAACACGACTTCTCCGCGACTGCCGACGACGAGCTGAGTTTTCGCAAAACTCAGACCCTAAAGGTGAGTGAGCCGTCAGAATCGGTGGTTTTATTCAGCGGGGAGGGGCAGGACAGGACTGGAAGGAGTATGCATGCATAATTCGCTCCAGAAGTGCAGCCCAGGTCGTTGCCTTAACCCACATAACGACTCCCAGACGGATTCTGTTACACAAAACGGGAGCCAGGCAGGGGGCACGGTTCAAAGGTGCATCCAGGTGGAGTCGAAAGCCTCGAAAGGATTACCAGCGATGGCTCATGACCGAAGCGCGAATACTCTCCCCACTAACAGGCCTATTATTCATTCGAGATTAGAGACTTGGCCCTAAACCACAACCACTGGCAGTTACTCATAATTTAGAGGTCAATAAATAATCAGTTTAATGAGTGTGCCATCCATCTCATCTATATCCTATTTTCAGGGGAAATATATGTACATATGCAAGTGCCATTACGATCTGAGCCGAGTCTGAGCCCAGACCCAGACCCTTTGTTTTGGCCAGCGAATTTTCCGGTTTCTTGTTGCCAGGGCCAGCGTTGTAAGCTGATTTTCGTTGTATGGCTGTGCTGGTGGCTGGTACTGTCTACCTTGTCGTAGGTTAGTCACAGCAGGAACCCAGCAGGGCCTGCCCTGTACATTATTTTTTTGCTGCTGCTTCTACTTCTGCCTGGGCTGTGCTGTGCTGATTGATGGTGTCAATGACTCGCCAAAGAAGCTTTCTTCTTGGCTGCTTTATCGGCCCCCGAAGGTCAAGTGTGTGCATTGCTCTCGGGCTCATTAGAGGGCCACTACGCTTATCAGTAAACGGTAAACAACTGATAGATGATAGTGCTCGGATGGGGAAACAGAGGGATTATCGCTGGCAGTTCTCGAAGGCATTTGTTTGCCTTTGCTTAGTCACTTGGTGGTCGGGCTTATCTCGCCAGATTCCCAGCTCACAGATACAAAGATAGATGAAAACATCTGGGTATGCGTGTGTGTGCAGCCTGTGAATCATCCCGAAACTGGTTTCTTGTCACTTATAGGGGGGGAGGGTATCTGAAATTCCAAAAAGCATTTAATTTTCTACGAATTGTGTGTCCAACGGATAATGTGGCACAAAGCCACGTTCTATCATGGCTCCAAGTTCCACTTTCGCTGGCCGCGAAAACAATGAAAAGTGAACGCTCGTGTCGGTTGGCCACTTTCCGGCATAGAGTAGAGAGAACCCTACAGTAATTACATAAGCATATATATGTATATATATAAACAAATTGATAATAACAATCATGGAAACTACGTGCCTGAAAATACTGAACACTGAATGCCTTATCCAACCAGGCCCAGGCCCAGTTCCAGTCCCTAACACCCCCTAACACCGACGAGAAAACGACGAAATCCGTGGAAATAAAATTGAATTCCTAGGCATGTTGTATAGCTATAGCTGTTGCTGTATTCAATGAATGAAAACAGGCTAAAAATAAAATAAATATGCCATGAACATCGGCGTCGTTGGAGCGGGTGGGTGGGTGACAGATGCGGGCGGTCGTGGCGGGGTGGATTAGAACTATAGAGCTATGCCAATTAGTCGAGGCTAGGCCCTGTTCCCGCCAACTGGAAAGCAATAATTGAGTTTTACATAAGCTGCGATGATGAGGCTAACTCCCCTTCCCCCCTCCCATGAGGTGCTAAATTGTCAAAATGTACCCCCTTAGTATTTATGTTTTTATTTTTTAAAAATAGATATATGAACACATCGCAGAGGGATTCGCGGAAAATGTACTCAAATAAATCGGAACTATTGTTGAAAGAAATCAATAAACCCTTTTTAGCTTCAGGGGGTGGGGGGCCTTCAAGGCGCATGTTTCCATGACTCAGTTGGGTGGCATTCCTCGCGATAAGTAGGGCCTTTTGTTATCCTATGAAATGGATATGAGTCACGCTGTTGCGTGGGCCAAATCCTGACCTTTTGGGGCCAAAAAGCAAACAGTAGCGCAAAAAATAATAAAGCTCTGGCATTGGCTAGAAGGCGGATCTGGAGGTCGATGTGTCAGCTGGCTGAGATTCCATTCACAAACTTGGGAATTCCCTCCTCAAACAGCGATATTCAATACTGTCTGGCAATTGAAAAGAAATCATTAAGGTGGCGGGTGCTGGGGGAGGCGATTACGTAGCCCATGGATGGGTTGTGTCATTGGCATGTGGCGAAGTGCCGTACCGGCGAAGACTAGAAAGAGTCCATTAGATACGCAAAAGTGAAATTCGTCTGCTCGAGAGCCGCGTTTCACTTGACATTCTTATCACATGTCGGCCATAATGCCAGTTTATTTTTAGTGCCAGCCCAGATATGAGAATTGGAGGAGAGATAATGGAAATGTTTCCCACATAAGCCTATCTTAGGGAGTGGGACTGGGGCCTTGGGACTGATTGCTCGCTGACACAGTTTTTTGGGATTTCAATCAACAAACAATTGAGAAAATTGTTTATCGAAATGGTTTCTAGCGAACTGGGCGGAAGAATGTCTCGGTTATGAAAGGGGTGTGGCTTTAAAAACGCTTCTTCCTATTTATTTCATAATACTATTTTTCCATTTTCAGATATTAAATATGGAAGATGACTCGAACTGGTATCGTGCCGAGCTGGACGGCAAGGAGGGCCTCATACCCAGCAATTACATAGAAATGAAAAATCACGAGTGAGTTTCAATTAAAATATATAGTAGCTTATGCAAATCTAAACTATTACCTTCCAGTTGGTACTACGGACGCATCACACGTGCCGATGCCGAGAAACTGCTGTCGAACAAACACGAAGGAGCCTTCTTGATACGCATCAGCGAGTCCAGTCCCGGCGATTTCTCCCTATCAGTCAAGTAAGTCATTCAAATCTCCATCATAAGCATCTCTAATCTGGTTATCTTGTAGATGCCCGGATGGTGTACAACATTTCAAGGTTCTGCGCGACGCCCAAAGCAAGTTCTTCCTCTGGGTGGTGAAGTTCAACTCCCTCAACGAACTGGTCGAATATCATCGGACGGCGAGTGTGTCTCGGTCGCAGGATGTCAAATTGCGTGATATGATACCTGAAGAGGTGGGTTCCTCCGCTGAATTATTCTAAAAATGAATATTTCGCAAAAAACATTGAGGTCATCATCACCGTGCTAGCACTAGCTGGTGCGCCCATCGTACGCCCACCCGTCCAAAACGATAAACAAACACCGGGGCCAAAGATATCTCATTATATATTCATGTATTCCAACGATTTCGTTATGTTGCAGATGCTTGTGCAGGCGCTGTACGACTTTGTGCCACAGGAATCCGGCGAATTGGACTTTAGACGCGGCGATGTCATCACAGTCACAGATCGCTCCGACGAGAACTGGTGGAACGGCGAGATCGGCAATAGGAAAGGAATCTTCCCAGCAACTTATGTGACGCCATATCATTCATAATAAGATAACTTCTAAGGAGGGACGCCCCCACACCCCAAAATCTCTCCCGAAAGCACACCCCCACACACGCACACACACAACAATAATAATTAGGCAGCATCATCCGATAAAAAAAAAAAGAAGAACTAAACACAAATTTTAAATATTTATCTACAAAATCATGACATCAATTCTGTAGACAAACTCTAAGCATATAAGTCGAGAATGCATTTTTACGTTTTGACGTTTTTTGATAAAAACAAAATTATAAAAAAGTACCATATACCATATATATTGCAAAGCCGTTTTATAGCCACATCCTCTTACACTCTAAACTAGATATGTAGACCTATTTGGGTCTGCATACAAGATGGCACTATTATTATTATTGTAAAGAAGCGGATTTTTGATATAAATATATACTTTAAGTTCGATAACGAGAGAATAACTGTCCTGTGCTTCGAAACGAGTATTGATTGCTCCTTAGTTTATGTTTAATGTTTTTAGTGACGACGGGCGAGAAGCACTTATATTATTATGATAACGAATTACCAACCAACCAACCAACCAACCTATTGCTTAAATTCACTATGAAAACAAAAAAAAAACAAATTTGCCTAAATGTCTCAAAGCTGAAGACAATTAAAACAAAATTACATTTATATTATATTATCGTAAAATGCCTACCACGTAAATTAAATTAATTTTTGCATCGCTGGTTACTATATACATATATATACAATATGCACGCATCTCTAATTAAATATGTATATCCAAAATGCAATGATATTAGCACTATGGCGGCGACTGTAACTCGATTATGTGAAAAATTAGTTGCCTCTTAGTTTGCTTGGTCGCTTCCTGTTTTCCTGATGGTGTGCATCCTGTGGAACACCAGTTTGTGGCCAGTTTGTATAGAGTTGGAACCGGCTGCTAATATCATACACTTTGTGCTATAAATTAGAACTACTACTATTTAGAATTGGTTGAGAGCTGTGTAATAACCCTATGTTTCATCACAACTGGTGCGCGAAGACAGCGAAACTGCAGTAGTTGCACATCTAAGCATTTTTCAACTACATAACTAATAATACGCATTAACAAATGTAATGAGAGTTGCCAATATAAAATAATTTATACGAAACAAAAAAAAAGAAAACGAAAAATTTTAAGCCTATTTTTTTAATCTATATATATACACGTATATCGAACCATATAATTATAAATTTTCCTAATATCCACCAAACTAGTGACGAAGACGACGACGACGACGATGCCTCATGAAAAGAACACATCAAAAATAACTTTTGATAGGCCATAGTTTACATAAGCCACAATTTACCGGGCAGCAGCTGGACGCGCGACAGTTTTGTACTTTTTGAGCATATTTTGCAGGCGTAGGCGAACATTTCTCGGCCCAGAACCAGTAGTAGCCGCATATTAAAACTTAAATTCTAATCGTAACAATAAAGCAGGCAAAATGACAAGGTTTAGATATTAACTGACAAGCGAATACACAAATGAAACATTGCATACGATACATATGTTAAGTTGAGGACCTAGTTTTTTAAGCAAAAACAAAAACTGATTTATTTAATAAACTATAATATAAATAAATTTAAATTTGATCATTTTGGCGGGTTTAACGGGAGGAGCATTGCCAGAATAGCGCCAAGGGTGCTGAAAAACCGATTACTTTAAAAGTATGACCGAAGTAGGCTGTGTTATCGATTACAACTGCCAGTAATCAACAACGTGGCCCGGCCAGTGTTGAACAGCGGCACTAGTCGATTAGAAATAAGCACAGCGCTGCTGCTCGGTCCAATAAGTTAATTTTGCTAAGTAAATATACAAGCACGCTGTCGGCAATCGCGATAAGATACCCCCGTTACCACCCGCAATCAAGTGTTCAGCAAAGTGATTCGGTGGTATCCTTACTTTGGCCAGTATTAAGCTCCACGTGAGGAAAAAGGCGCTGAAAGAAAAGAAAATCCAAGGCACACAAACACACACATACACATACACACAAGCACAGCAACAACAACAACAACAAGACACACACTCACAAGGAACACGTACACAAATGCGCGCCAGGGAAAAGCGCTAGGTCAGAGGAAAGTGAAAAGCGCGTGCGACAGGCACCCTGGGATTCGGATACCGATTTGGCATCGGATTCGCACATTAGTCGCAGTCGCTGCTGCCCTTAGCTGCGTGACAGCCCAAAACGTTATGATGGTCTACCGGGACAAGCACATCCTCAGCGCCCAGCAGCTGCGAAAGCTGAGCGAACACAAGTACTCCTGCTTCAGCGCCTCGCTGCTCGATCCGCTGCTGCAGCCGTGGTGGAACTGGCTGGTGGCCCAGACGCCGCTCTGGCTGGCCCCCAATCTCATCACCATCGTGGGCCTCATCCTCAATGTGGTGACGACACTGATATTAATCTGGTAAGCCTACATACCGGTCCCAGATCAGGCGACCAGCTTGAATCGTTTCATAATTAACTAGCTAATGGATGGGTGGCGAGGTGGACCGGATACCCATACACTGATATATATATGTGCCTCGGACCCCCCTTTCAAGTACTTGGACATAAACTATGCCAGCGATAAGATAGCGAGGGCGTCTCGCCACTTTTTCCCCCATTACACTCGCAGAACTGCGCGAAATATAAGTAATCGCAATCATCGCCGCTTGTCGTCGTCGTCGTCTTAGTCGTCTTGTGACGCATTGCCTCCGTCTAGGGACGGGAGGCAACTTTAGACGATAAGTAAATAAACAAAGGCTGTCGGATTTGATCGGATTGGATCAGAAGAGTTGGCAATCACCCGATACCCAGGTGGGCTCTAAAGGAATGGATTCCAGGGAGACATTGCACCTTTCGGTTCAAACAAGTTAACCCCACGGGGGCATATTTCCATTTTCCAATTGTTTGCCATTCAATTGGGGATTTCACAGTGGCCCGGCGTATACCTTTGATTGAATTAGAATGACAATTTGCATTTCTAATTGATTTTTATGGGTCTCCCAACTAAAGTCCGGCCGGCTAGAAGTTTCTCTTAACCGAAACTACATTCTGTAATTACAGGAACTATTTTTAGAGGCATAACTTTCACTCTGGCTGCGAAGAGAAAACCTTGAATTGATAATTTTCTAGGCCATGAACAGCTTATATCTGGCTGGGGCGTGAAATTCTAGCAAGTCTAGTTCTAGAAGAGTCTTCCCTTAAGGGGGCAACCAGCCTCAACTATGAATTATTGCTTTTTTGGGGCATGTCGAGATGCCACAATTGGTCGAGCTCGAGATAATTGCTTGAGAAGGAACGTTCTCGTGTCAATCAAATGCCACTCTCTGGCCAGTGATTCACCTTCGTGGCTGCTCACGTGTCTGGCTTGCTTTATTTTTAGCCAAAAAAAGAGTACATATAGGCATGGCATAGTATAGGATCTGTAGGTTCATTCACAAAAGCCCGCCATATGAGCGGACCGGTTTTTATTTGCACTCCCCGCATTAATATTCCACTTTTGTTTGCATTTCTGGCTCTTTTTTTTTTTTTTTGCCCAAATACTCAGCTGTCTAGGTCAGTGGGGGGACTCGATATACAGCTTATTGTCACTCTTGGCTGATGATTCAGCTGGAATCGCTTGCCGTTACTAGTTAGGGCAGATCCCCAGCCGTCGTGCTCCAAAATCCCAACCCGGAACCGCAACATCAGCTGATTTTCGGAAAGACACTACGAAGTGCTTATCGGAGCACTTACGCTTGGCTAGCAGCTGCCAAGTTGGGAACTTTGCTCATCAGGCGATATTATGTTTAATGACGTCAGTTGTTGTTCATAGCGGGGGGGAAGGGTCTTGAGTAATTGGTTCATCTTTTATCTTCTAGAGAGAGCTAGACTCTGGGTTATCAACAAGGGTCAGCTTTCTTATCATCTTCTTGAACAAATCTTGGACTTTATTCATTCATTAGAACCCCTAGTAACCCCTGGATTTCACCTATTCCTCTTTCAGCTACAGTCCAAATGGCGTGGAGCCACCTCCGCGCTGGACCTGTCTGCTGTGCGCTCTGGGATTGTTCATCTACCAGAGCCTGGACTCCATCGATGGGAAGCAGGCGCGTCGGACGAACACCTCGTCGCCCCTGGGAGAGCTATTCGACCATGGCTGCGACTCGATATCCACCGTGTTCGTGGCTCTGTCAGCCTGTATATCCTGCCAGCTGGGGCACTACCCCAACTGGCTGTTCTTCCAGGTAAGTGGCCTCCTTTCCCACCAGAGACCTTTTAAATATTGTGGCGTTTCTTTCAGTGCTTCTGTGCTATAGCCCTGTTCTACTGCGCCCATTGGCAGACCTACGTGTCCGGAACGATGCGCTTCGGGCGCATCGATGTGACAGAGGCTCAGTTCTCCATTATAGCCATTCACCTGGTGTCGGCTGTGCTGGGTCCCGAGTTCTGGCTAACCAAGGTAGGAGTGGCTCCGACGGAGAACATTGCAGAGTCTCTTTAATTTTTTTTTGTATATTTTTAAGAGTAATTTAAGATTCTGTTAATGTTACGTTTATATTTTAGAGTTTAGAGTTGGCGTTTCGTTATAGGATGCTTAGGATTAAGCTCGGCACTCATAAGTTCTGTTCTAGTCGAGTTCCATTAGTGTTTTTTGGAAGAAACAGCTTTCGTATTGAGTTCAGCTTCAAGTCCAATTTATTTATAATTTATTCAGCATGGAAACCCCAACCAGGGAGGAAGTTAGGTTATTTTAGGGAACACGCAACTCGTCGCTCGATTTAGAGACATATATCTAGGTATATGTCTGCTATAAGTTCTTATGATAATGTAACCCCCATGTTAGTAATGGTAATGTCTAATAACTTCTACTTCTATGTACTTAAATGCGTACTGCACGCGCTCCTTGCAAACAAACCTGCCGAAACAATGTTGTGCCGCTCTAAAAACACTTAACAAACAAACAAACAAACAAACAACACCACATCCACACACACTCAACCAACAAACACACGCAGATCGGCATTGGCAGTATAGAGCTTTGGTATGGGCCGGCATTCACGACCATTGTGTGCGGTCTCCTCTCCCTAACTTATGTCTTTTCCGTCATTAAAGCCGGTGGTGTTGGCAAGAACGGCTCGACAGTTGCTGTAAGTCTTAAAACACACACACAGAACACACACACCCAATACACAAAACACACACCACACAGACACACAACAAAAACTATTTTGGCTCCTCCATAAAAAAAAGAAAAGATTAAATGGAATCTCTAGCAGTATTCCCCTCCATTTGCTGGCCAGTCCTGAGCTGATTTTCGAGGAAGGTGCGTGGCGTGAGGATAACCCCCTTAACCCCCTCTATCCCATTCTTTAACCCCCTAAAAACAATGCTTGCCTATTTAATTTGTGCCGTTTTTTATTCTTGTTCATGTGTCTTTGGTTTGAACGGCCCAGCTGCTTAACTTAATGCTTTCTTATTTACTGAAAAACTTAAAATTTAAAATTAAAAAAAAGGAAAGACGCGAGCATGCCTGGAAAGCACACACCCACAGACAATAACCCACGATTATTGGAGGCTGCTGAATGCGATATTTAAGTTAATTACTAGTGATCTATGTATTGCCCTGTCCAATGTCCAGTTTAAATTCGATTTTAGTTCTATATATACTCTCTATATACTATATATGTCTACTGTCTACTTCCGGTATTGGAGTTATCTATTTAACACTACCAGTAATCCTATTCTTATTATGTATTCTCCTAAGGATAGATCGTAAGTACGTGGTCGAGGGGTGTTCACAGTACAGAGTACAGGTGTTCTGAGCACCCATCGCACCTCTTTTTCCAAAATTGTTATATCCATCCCTCTGAATGTAGTCGAATATTCTAAATTATGATGTTTTCTTGCAATCTCTCATCTTTACTAGATACCAATCGTGGGCCTTTCATGGAATTATACAATATTAATAGCTATCACATTCGGTTATACATTGAATATAATCAATTTCTTAAAAATGTTTACTGAAGGCGGCAGTGGCAAAAACGGCTCCTCAGTTGCTGTAAGCATTGCACCCTTCTCTCTTACAAACGAGACGAAATCTTGTCCAAAAAACAAATAATAACTATATAAGAGAAATGATTAAAAATACAAAACTTACCAGACTAACTAACTCAGTAGCGCTGGGAAGCCATAACATCCTAATAATAGTCCTTGGTTTATCTACTAATCCATCGGTTTTGCATTTAATTTTTGCCTTGGATTTGACTTTGGTTTGCAGTTCGGTGAAGGGCTCTGGAATTTGGTTTGGGCCTCTCTAACTACCATAATTTACTTAATCTAACTAAGCATGCGGCTGCTTGGGTACTACTATCCTTAACTTATGGGTTTAGTTTTTAATTTAATCACTCAATGGATGAGGGAGGCATTATGGTTTTTATCTTAATTTCTAACTGCATCCCCAAGCTCATTTTAAGTATTTTATAATATAAGTATTTGGCAACTTTAGAGCTTAGATCTTATAAGTTTTAAAGCCGCACTTGATTGATTAAAATTAATTAAAATTATAATGCGCGCTATTCTTTTCTTTTCGTTTTGAAAATACATTAATCCACACAATAATATCACATTCCAAAATAAACTTTGACATCACCAGCTACCGTACTTCGACTGCGAGACTCGATTTTTGCCAATTTATGTGGCCTGTGGAGTCGATTCGATTCTAGCCCTGCGCTACTCGAAGTGCATCCTGACCGAGGGTTGTGGCAAGAACGGATCATCGGTTGCTGTAAGAATCAACTCCCACCGAGATACTCTTGTCCTTGTCCTGGTGTGCAGTGCGTTTTCAAAACTAGTCTTTAATATTTAATAAGAAAATTTATGGTTTTAAGATCGGCACTGTAGATCGGCTTCAGTAGCATGAGAGCTGAGAGATCTGAGAGCCCAACACGTTGCCTTTGTTTCACCTTCAGTAATGCCATGTGCACGTCCTATGGTTGTTGTAATTAATCCAGTCTAGCTTGTAAGAATGCTTTTTTGTTACTTTTTTTGGCTTGGCATGTACTTGTCTGGTAATTGGCTTTTTATAAACCTACATATGCATTTTGAAACCAGTCCACACCCGAAAACCCACCCACACACCCGCCCAATATAGCGCTAGACCATGTAAATAAAACATGTAATAAACCAAAGGCCCCTTCCCCCCCAGAGCTGGCTCTGGTGGGGAACCGGCTGAACCCTAAAACACCAAAAGCCAAAAGAATTTTTGTTCTCTCTCCTCCTCTCTTCTCTGTGCACCCGAAAGTTGTGACCTTTGCAAAATGTGCCGTGCTGCACCGTAATTGACCCCCCAACCGTATTGAGTTCAAAGTCCAAAGAGCACATTGCCGCCAAACGGCGACACTTTGCAAGGTTGCAACTGGACCCAGTGAACCCCGACTAATCCGTATTCTCCTCGTGTGTGTGCGTGTGTAGGGAACTAGTGTGCTGTCGCCCAGCATACCCCTGACCTTGGTGGTGCTGCCAGCTCTGATGATTGCCCAGAAGTCGCCGCAGAACATCTTCACGGAGCACGCTTCGGTGTACATCATGGCCTTCGGCATGGTGGCCGCAAAGGTCACCAACAAGTTGGTGGTAAGTCGATATTGATGATTATTCATTTCCTCTTCTAAAGCTTACTCTCTTCGTAGATCGCACACATGACAAAGTCGGAGATGGGCTATCTGGACTGGTCGATGCTTGGGCCTGGGATGCTGTTCCTCAATCAGTACTTCAACTGCATCGTGCCTGAGATCTGGGTGCTGTGGTTCTCCCTGGCCTGGGGCACACAGGATCTGCTGCGCTACTGTGCCCAGGTATGCCTCGAGATATGCCAGCACCTGCGCATCGATCTCTTCCGCATACCGTACACGCCCAAGGGAGCCGCTCCGTCCCATCCGGTCACCGCCTCCGTGAGCAGTCAGAGCAACTTGGGGAGCAGTGCGGACAAGAACGGCGGCACCGCCCATCGAAAGTCGAAGAGCAAACCGCACTAGGTTTCCCACTACTTTAATTAGAACCTTCTTTTACACTTTAACGTCGTTAGAAATGGGGGATACTCGCTGGAGGAGCTGAAGGAGAAGCTGGAGGAGCAGGCGGAGCGCAAGAAATACAAAACTGTTAACACAACCCAACAAAATTCACCGTCAATGAAGAAAGCAACCACAAATTATTGAAAAACCCTAGAGGACGAAGAGAGCAACGGATTGCTTTTTCGTTTTAAGATTTAGATTCCTACACACCTGTTGTAGCAAACACGATGATGGCCAGGGCTGCAGGGAGGAGGGGTATACAACAGAACAACAACAATGAAAATGATACAACTCCGATATCAATTAAATGGCTAACATATATACACATAAATATATTTTGTACACCTGTGTAAGTTGTAATAAGTCTAGATGGCAGTATTTTTACTGCGCTAGTTTAAACTTTTGCAAAATGCCAAAATCAGAGTTAGGCCCGACAATAGCAAATACGTTTCTGGCGCTAGGAAGCTCAACTTATGTTTAAGTTCAAAGACTTATTGGCTGAAACGAGTCCCTTCGAAAGACAGACAGCAAGAGAGCTGTTTATTAGTTGGTGTTACTATCTATCTAGTGCTTAGTTCGCTACTCATCGGGCGTTTGTTAGCCGCGACATTCTTAATGGTGACTCATTTCAAAAAGCGCATTACCTATCCTGACTAGGGCCACAAGTCTAGTGCGACTACGCATCCTTCTAGCTCGCCCGACAAACTTTATAGTTAAACTATTATGAATTATGTTTTATGTTGTACAAGACGCAAATGGAGACAAAACTGCAGAATAAAGAGATCTAAACTAATTGTTTGATAAATACATACATTTTAACGAGAATCTTTTATTACAAACTGGCCATCTTTGAACATTAAAGGTAACATAATACAGGGAAATGGAAAAAACTTAACTACATATACATATATGCAAATTCAATGGCTTATAGTTCTGATATCCTAGTTTCGTCGCAGGTTCTCGCAGATATAGCCCATCAACACCATGTCCCTCACATCCAAGGTCACGCGCCCACGATGCAGGGTCAGGTAGTAAGCGTCCTGCAACCGCTGCGTCAAGTAAATCTCCGATGAGGATTGCAACGCCTCTAGGGCTCCGGTGGAGATTTTGAACATTTGGCTTCCTTGCGAGTAAAGCAGTTCCCTCACAAGACGCGAAAATGGTAGCTTGGGTATCAGATTGCCGGTGAACTGCTGCAGCTTGTTAATCTCTCTCTCCATTCTTGCGGCCCGGCTCAAAGGGGTGGTCCTTTTTCGCCGAGTGGCTCCGGATGTTTGAGCGTTCCGTTGAAGCGGTTGGGCCGCTGGTCTTCTCTGGGGTGACTGGGCAGCGGGTCTCCTCTGAGGTGACTGGGCAGCGGCTCTCCTCTGAGGTGACTGGGCAGCGGCTCTCCTCTGGGGTGATTGGGCAGCGGGTCTCCTCTGAGGTGTTTGAGGTCCCGGCCGCCGCCGCGGCGACTGTGCTTCTGAACTTTCTTGAGACGATTGTGCAGCAATTCTTCCCTGGGCCGTTCGCGATCTAGTTGACGGAGACAGATTTTCTTCATTCTCATCTTCCTCCTCCTCGGAGGTGCTTTGATTGGCGCCCACTCTCCCGCGACTAGCTGAAGTGTTTTTGCGCAGCGTTGAGCAACGACGATTGCTGACATCCTGTAAGTTTAGTCGACTGGTCGTGAACTCCAAGCCGTAGTCTGTAGCGTCTTCGGGTTCAGGCGAGCGGAACGCACTTTCATCATCAGAGTTCTGGGATGCGGTATCTTCTCGTGAGGGCTGTGGAGCTGTGGAACGCTGGCCGCCTCCTCGCTTTGATGGGGGTCGCATTTTTGTTTTCTAATTGGCTGGTAAAAAATAAATCCTCAAGATCTCCAACCGAAAAATTTCAATTCGACGCGTCCCGCTTTTTCTGCAAGTGTGACCAGATCCCAAAGTTATGCTTTAACGCGTCCCTAACACTATCCCTCCAGCTGATTAGTGAAAATTTCGCAACACTAGTGAATTGTTTACATTGGCCAAATTGCAGTCTTGTGAAATTGAAAACAAAAACACGGTTTTAACACGCAGAAATGTCGGAGGAACCCAGTCATGGCAAGGATTACACTCTGGAGTCAGACTCTGAGCTGCGCTTCGAGATCGAACAAAGGGATGCCAAAGTTTTGGTCACTGTACGTTTCATTCCAAAATAAAAGACCAAATTGTTATAAATGATCTTTTTTAGTTGGTCAACGGATTTGCTGAGCTCTTTGGCACGGAGCTGGTGAAGAAAAAGAAGTACGAGTTCGGCGTGGGCGCCAAAGTGGCCATTTTCACATATCAGGGATGCGTGCTCCACGTTTCGGGCAAAATGGATGTCTGCTACATATCCAAGGAGACTCCAATGATCCAGTACTTAAATTGCCATGCGGCCCTGGAGCAATTCCGGACAGAAGCCGAGGATAAGGACCAACGTGGCCCAGTGGCCATGGTCGTCGGACCCATGGACGTGGGAAAGAGCACCTTATGTCGCATTTTACTTAACTATGCGGTTCGTGTGGGCCGTCGACCGCTCTATGCCGACTTGGACGTGGGCCAGGGCGCCATCGCTATATCGGGAAACGTGGCCACTATTCTCATCGAGCGGCCAGCTAGTGTAGAAGATGGATTTCCAAAGACAGCGCCGCTTGTCTACCACTTTGGACACAAATCGCCCAGCGGCAACAGTGTACTTTACAACTCGGTCGTCTCTAAAATGGCTGATGTTACCCTGCAGTCGATGAATAGCAATAAACGAAGTGAGTTTTATTAGGTTTTCTATAAACTTTTCATTTTAAAGTCCATATTTTCTAGCAAAAAGCTCTGGCATCATTATCAACACCTGCGGGTGGGTTAAGGGCTCCGGTTATGCCCATCTCCTGCATGCTGCCCAGGCCTATGGGGCCTGTGCCATCTTTGTTCTGGATCAGGAACGTCTCTATAATGAGCTTTTAAGGGACGTACCCCAGGGCGTCAATGTGGTCTTGCTGCCGAAAAGCGGGGGTGTCGTTGAGCGCAGCAAGGAGCTGAGGCACGAGTCGCGGGATCTGCGAATGAAAGAGTACTTTTACGGCAATCCACGGGCCCCATTTTATCCGTTCAGCTTCGAGGTAAAGTTCCAGGACCTGCGGCTTTACAAGATTGGAGCTCCCCCTCTGCCAGATTCCTGCATGCCCATCGGCATGAAGGCCGAAGACAACAAGACCAAAGTGGTGGCTGTTACACCCACGCCCGCCCTCATCCACCATATCCTGGCTCTAAGCTTTGCAGAAACAGTGGAGGATGATGTGATTGGCTCCAATGTAGCTGGATTTTGTTGCGTGTAAGTTTAAACTGATTTAAGATGATTTCTTAATTTAATAATTAATTATCGAATCCATAGAACCGAGGTGGACATGGAGAGACAAGCTGTCATGGTTCTTTCGCCCCAGCCACGACCTCTGCCCCCGAATTCCCTGCTTTTGTGGTCGGAGCTGCAATTTATGGACAACCACACATAGTGTTTAAAAAGAAACTTAATTGTACTTTAAATTTATTATTTTAATTAAAGATTTTATTTGAAGTTAGACAAAAATTCTACCAACGGAAATACTACAAATGAAAGAAAACTAGGATAAATATTACAAAAACATACTTTTTGAGAAAATGATAAGAATATAAGGTCATTTAAACCGATTTTCGGAATAAGATTGGCTACATTTTGAAAAGTATGATTCTTCCAGGAGACCTACTGTTTTTTCAATAAATTCTATTTAAGCGACCCTCACCTTTTGTGGGTGTTTATTAAAAACTGTATGTGATTCTAATTGAGAATTTATAACTTTAAATAAATAAAGAGCTAAATATATTTAAAAATGTGTTGCATTTCCGCTGGATAAGGTGGCAACGCCGAAAGCGGCTGTTAGATCTTCCATTGCAGCAAACCGTTAATAATTTTGTTTCAAATGGCCAATAAATGAAAAAGTAAAAGGAACACAATGATATTTGCAACATAAAACGGTCAAAGTAGGTAGTTTAATTTAAAACCCACAATTTTTAGGGGCTGTTACTGCATAGATAGTTTTTCAAATAAAAAATACCAAAAAGTAATATTTACTTGAATGAATGTTGCATCACTGGCTTATTAATGACTTTAGAAAGGACTTAAATTGGTGAGAAATGCTCCTCCTTTTTTCATATTTCATACTTAATTTATTTGAAAAATATTATTTTAGTTAAAGCGAAGACATCAACCTTAATACTAAAATCGTTCAGTGTTGAAAAACTTTTTAATGTCAAATGTTCTGGCAACGCTACAAAGGACTGTTTCCGACACTGGCTGAGACGTTTGTTTTTTGTCTTCCACCCACATGACAACACTGGTTCGGACGCAACGCAACGCAACGTACGGAACGCGAGTAATGTGTGAAAAGTAAATCAAATATTTACAAATATTTACCAATTTACAACAAAATGGCTACTCCCGGGCCGAATCGCGTGCACTAAACAACAAGCTGCGACCGAGCGGGCTCCAGAAGAGCATTTTGAGCGGGCAATAACGCGGATTTGGCGTGTTTTTCGGGTTTGTTGTGCAGCATGCGAGGCGTAAATGTGTAAATGTGTGTTTAAAATGGTTCTAAAAACAAAACAAGAGTACGGCGGCTGGCTGGCGTAGAGTAATTCCATACGATTCCCGAGTTCGGGGCATCTAAATTTACGGCCTGCCCGAAAGACGTGTGTGTTTGTGTGCGTGTGATTCTTTAATGTGTGTGTGTGTGTGTTTATGTGTGTACCTGTGTTGTGTCTGTTGCTTTTGTTGTTGTTGTTGTTTAATTTTTCCAGCGGCATTTGTTTTGGTTGTAGACGTCGTCGGTCACAGTTGCGCTTCCAGTGGAAAGTGCAGCGAGCGCCTTTTTTTTTTTTTCTTTCGGGGTTGCAGCACTGCCACTGCCACCGCCACCGCCACTGCCACCGCCAATCGCCGGCTTGTTGCGTCGCCAGAAGCGGAAAGGAACATTAATTACCAAGTCCGTTGTGCCACCTTATCGTTTACAGTATTCCAATTTAGCAACCAGGTGGGCTGGAAGGGGGGTTGAACTGAGCTGGGCTGGGCTGGGAGGCGTTGGCGGAGTAGTCACCCTCCTCCATACAGTTGCACAATTGCTTATCACTCGCTACTTAACGGCAACAACAACACAGCCACACACACCGATCGCACACACACACTGCCCAGCAAAAGAAAACTTTAATTTGAACTTGAAAATTAAAGAAAATTAATTACAAAAATTTAAAAGCCTTTAAAATAAAAGAGTATTTCAAAGACAAGTGTTTAACTTTTTAATTCTTATCTCATTTTTTTTATTTTTACCTTGCAGTATTTTCTAGTGAATTATGTGCGCTTAACACAATAGACATATATATATATATATCGTTAAAGATATCGGTCCGCGTCACCTGCCCTCTTCCAACGTTAGCGCCAAATGTCTTAGAATTCCCGAGATTGTGGCCAAAATAAGATGGCTCTCGAGCCACAGACCGAGTCGGCCGAAATCGAACCTCAACTGTGCCAATTAAAAGCAACAAATGTGACAAAATCGACAAATCTGACGAGAAAATGCTCAAATTATAGCAGGGCCGTGGCATGGAGGCCGTGGCGGCACTTGGCGATCGGCTTTCTACTGATTTCCTGCGGCATCTCGGCCAGTTGGCAGTACAAGAACGGTGAGTATTGGAAATACAAAGCGCACTTTCAAATATTGCATTTTAGGCTCCAAAAGGTCCTTTGATGGCAAAAGGATGCAATTGTGACAAGTTCATTAATACAGGGAGAGAGATAAAAGGAGAGGGGAGAGGGACCTACACTGAAAGAAACTTAAAAGACATAAGCTTGTGGCTTAAAAGTCCTACCGAAAGGCTAAGACTGCTAAGACCCTACTGGAGACTAAGCTAAAACTAAGATATCCCCCTACTTTTTTTTATAATTTTTCTCAGTGTCTAGCTTCTTTCCTTCCCCCTCTCTCCACCATTTGTTTATGTGGTTTTAACTGCACTTTTGTGCCTTCCCTCCCCCACCCCCCTGCAGCGTTTGTCGCTTTCCTTTAAGCCCTTTTCTCGTGTTTTTTTTTTTGTCAAAGCCTTTGGGCCGACAATTTCTCGGCACGATGCTTTTATGAATAAACAACTACTACTTATTTAGACTGTAGTACGCACTCAACTTGATTGCACTGCGCATAATTTAGTGTCCTCCCCCCCGGCCCACCACCCCCTCTCTTGCGCCTTGCAACCCCAAACCCCAAAAACACTTTTCCGCGTAGATGCGACGCTAATGAGCTGAAAAAGTACCAGAGCTCACTAATAATTCAGCAGTTATAATATCGCAAGAGGTCCCCGGTAATTGCCGGAAAATTTCAAATGCACAAAGCATTGACCCAGTCCTGCCCCCCACCCATCCCTGGCCAAGGGTCAGGTCAAGTCAATATGGTAATGGCAAATGGACAAAGGCCCCAACGAACATCGTTAAGCCCCAAAAAATGTGCAGGCTCTCGAGTGTTTGGCAAAAAGATAAGCCTCCTCCTCCTTCTCCTCCTCCTCCTGGAGCTTGGATAGAGTCGGGATCTGGTGTGCACTCCATCCAGAAGGCGGCTCAAAGCAAGTGCCGCCCCGAAAAGGAAACCCAAAACTTAAATTTGTCGAGCAGGACGCAGGACTCGGGATTCAGGAGGCAGGACTCGGGACTGGGAGAAAAAAGCGCATCAAATATGTACACAAAGCTCGGTTGAAAAAAATCTGCAGCTTCCTTGCCAGCACAGAGTACACTGAGAATATAATTGGGTTTCCAAAATATGATATTCAGAGAGGATGACTTGGTCTTGGACTTGGTCTTGGATGTGGAGACTGGAGGCCTATGATCTGCAATATCCTTGAAGTCTAGGATACTCTATGGGGTTAGTCCTTAAACATTTCTCTGTGTAGGCGTACTAACGGGTGTGTGTGCTTACTTTCTTTAACACTTTGACGCGCTCACAAAGTGCTACCCCACCACTCCCCCCCCTGGCCTTTGGAGCATGTCCTTTTTTGCAGCTACTGACGCTGCTGGTTTTTTTTTTCGCTGTCATTCCGTGTACGTGCAAAGGGGGATTGCCTGGCCACCTCGTCCTCCTCGCCTGTCAGAGCCATGCGCTATTTGCTTTAGCTTCTATTTACTACGCCGTAGTACGCCAGTTTAGTAGTAATGGGAGTACTTCAAAGGCAAGTCCTGCCTTTGACGCTCCTCGCCCGAATCCTTCCCTCGGGACACTCGACATTTCGCTGTTGTTGACATTGATTTTGATTTCATTTATGTACGTGGGTCCCCGTATCCGACATTGGTTTGGAATGCTTGTCAGGTTTTGGCCCTTGGACACCATTCTAGATTTGTCCAGGCGATTATTTAATAGTGGAGTGTTGCCCACAACAAGGGATGATACCTCACTCTCTCTCGATACATCTACTGCCCTTTAAAGCCTTCAATGGCAAACATCCAAATGCATGGCAAACACAATTGGGCTTTAACTAACCCAATCATTCGGCCACCCGGCCACACACACACACACACACATTCCCTATGCAAACGGCTAAAACCAAAGGCAAACTCCCGCTCCGGATACACACATGTATCACTTTGCAATTTAAACAATAATGTTGTGGTGTGGTCACTGTGTGGCATGCAACATCATCATCATCATCTGTATCTGCAACTGCGTTGATTTGTGTGGGTGAGTAGGCCTGACCTGGCACTGACCTCTGGATGTGGATGTGGCAGTTGCACAGGAAAATAAATTGCTTGAAATATGGTAATATTACAAACTAGAGACCTTATTTAATAGACAATTCTTTTAGATTTTTTTTTAAATTTTAATCCTTAAACCTTCTCCCTGTGTATCTGCGTAATCAAAGTCTCTAGAGGTAGAGCTAAATACCATTCCCCATCGCGGTCTGCTTATGCAAATATCCAACTGGACCCCGAGAGACCCGTCCGACTGCTTTTTAATCCTCCTGCCACACGTTTATCACTTATCGTAATCTTGTAATTACGTGTGTTCCACAAATGTTAATTGCAACAGGGATGCAGAGGATGAATCGATAGTCTAAAGGCATTCCTCCTCCCTCCAGCTACTGGTTATCTTCAGTCCTAAACGATGGTCTCGTCAACATCCTCGTACCCGTCGCTTCCCTCATTGCGATTCTTCCGGCGACGCAAATACTCGAACATGGCACCCACAACCACTACGAAGTATACCTCCATGGCTGAAAAATAGTTAAAGATTAGTTAGATTTAAGTTAAGGATTAGTTAGTTACTTGCCGAGTATTAAAAAGAAAATCATCGTGAGGACCAAGCGCATGTAAACGAAGGCTAATGCCAGGACCACCACTGCATAGACTATGCACACGAACACCGCCTTCAGTAACCAGAGTCCCACAGCAACTACTCCTAACTAACCAGAACTGAGAATTAGAGATCTAATCTAAGGAACTAAGTAGTCTCCTCACATTTATATACTTAGTTCCAACAATTAAAAAGCAATCCGTCACAAGGTC